GTTTAAGTAATACACGTATCAACGCTCCTGCTCATCAGATGTTTGATTGTCTCCTTCGACCTCCACATTTCCATGAGCTGTTGACAAAGTAAAGAGCGATGTACAACATAAAGAGGGGCTTTGTGTTGTGAGACCACCCGGCACGCTCTGAAAGTCAAACATCGTTTAAAAGTCTTCTTTTTTGTGGGGGTCAGGAAACCAGAAAAGAGACGAAAAGCACAAAAGTCAGAGTGTGCCAGAAGACGTCCCACAAAGAGCCGTGGAATGCTGAGGGCACCCCCGGGTGCTGCCATAAAGGCCTTTAGGGCGTCGTTAGAGGGGGTGATGGTGGCGTCTCCTCCTCCTCTTTCCTCCTGATGGAGGACACACATCTGTAGAGCCGGGACACCAAGTTATGAACATTATTTACCATCTGACCACTGGTTTGATCTTTCATAATAACCGTCTTTCTTCTGCTTAAAGAAAAGGGACAAAACAACAGGGAACAAAACTACGTCACTTTCTTCTTACTACGTCCAGATCCAGTAAAGAATGTGAGAAAAACCTCCCGCTGTCTTCCCTCCTCATGAGAGTCCTCATCACGCTGCATCCTGACACCAGGCCGCAGTTCACTGGTCCTCTCGTCGACTTCTGTTACAAGATCCTTCTTACACACACACACACGCGCACACACACACACACACACACACACACACACGCACGCACACACGCACACACACACACACACACACACACACACACTCACACACACACTCACAAGTTAAGGAATAAATACCATCCTAGTACAAATACAAAGTACTTTCACTTCAGCATGTGTACTTTCTACCGTTGTACTTTTACATGGTGTCCTTGTTGCGACTTACAAGACCTCAACCTCGACTTCTTCATGTGGGACAAAGGGTTACAGTAAGGACGCAGGAGGCAGGAGGCAGGAGGCAGGACGCAGGAGGCAGGAGGCAGGACGCAGGACGCAGGACGCAGGAGGCAGGAGGCAGGAGGCAGGACGCAGGAGGCAGGAGGCAGGAGGCAGGACGCAGGAGGCAGGACGCAGGAGGCAGGAGGCAGGAGGCAGGACGCAGGAGGCAGGAGGCAGGAGGCTACGATCTCACTGTGACCCAGAAACATCAGCAGGAGATGAAACACGCTGTGTTTCCTCTCATCCAGATCACAAGGTCTTTCTTTAAGCTTCGTTCTCTTTCCTCCCTCGTAGGAATGTCACATGTGGCAGACGCTCCGCCCCTCTGCTCATGATGGGTGAGGGGAAAAGGGGGTGAAGGGCCAAGGGAGGGATGTGACGGAGGAGGAGGAGGAGGAGGAGGTCTGTTGCTCTGCTGCTGGAGAAAATCGTCTCTAGACTGACACTCCTCTGCAGCCCGACTAGGAGGCTTTAATATCACCACAAGGCGCCTCTCTCCTCTCTTCCCCCTCTCTCTCTCTCTCTGACTCGCCTCCTGGGAGGAGGATGCTCTTCAGACCTCGGTGTGCTGATCTTCCTGCTCTCTGCTAAACACTACTCCCTTCTTATTTGCTGATGATCATTTGAGGAGCTCCGCGGGAAGCAGAGGTCCGAGTGCTTTTTGTCTTCTTCTCTACCCGGTCTGTCCTGCGTCTTCTACCCGGAGGAATGAGGCTCGGGCTGCTGGTCGTCTGGGCGGGTTTGACCCTGAGCTGCTGCGCTCTGGTCGGCGCCGGAGGCGGCGATGAGGACGCAGAGGAGGAGAACGGCCTCTCCGGAGGTCGGGCTCACCTGAGGGAAGCCCGGGGACTCGCGGAGCCCACGGCGAAGCCGGGGGAGGAGGGCGGCGTGCGAGGGTTGGACGAGGGAGAGGAGAGGAAGAAACCAAAGAAGAAGAAGACGCTCGAGGAAAGTAGAGGTAGGTATGACGGAGCCCAGGCGTTGATGATGTTTGACCTTTCTCCTGGATTCTAGGACGCTGATACACGGACCAGAAAAGGCTGCAATCAATCTTCTGAGAGCAGCAAAAACCAGCCGGAGCTCCACAGATCCTCCATGTGCTCACAGGAACCCTCCCAGTAGGGGGGCTGGAGGGGCTGGAGGGGCTGGACGGGGCTGGAGGGGCTGGAGGGGCTGGGAGGGGGGCTGTTTTGCTGAAAGTATCTCAGTGACTCAGAGATGACGGGGCAGAAACTTGCAGTTGGTGGTTTGGCATTTTGTTAGCAGCCTCACGGGCTTCTGAACCTCGATCACAACGAAAGAACTGAAAGTGTAAAAAGTCAAAAGTGTAAAAAGTCAAAGTTTGCGTCGCAGCACAAAGTTTCCACTGCGATCTTTCCAGCACGAAGGATTTACGAGTTCTGAAGTTTAACCGTTTCTCCTGCGATGGTTCTTTGATAATATTTATTGTAAACCTTAATAAGTATTTTCTGAACATCACTCGCTTGTTTCCTGTGAAGAAAAGAAAGACTTTTGTAGCACAAAAACCGGTTGTAAAATATGATTCAGATGGTTTTATGAGGACACGTTGAAGTATTTATATATTTATTTTGAATCTTACTTTCCTGCCGGATGGAAACGTGTTTCTGAACAGATGTGCAGTTTTTACAGTAAATCCTTTGGCCTAGAAGCTGTTTGTGTGAAGCAGACCTTGATGTGTGGACACTGGACGGGACCAGCAGGGAGGGGTCAGCGGGGGTCAGCGGGGGTCAGCGGGGGGCTGTTGTTGAAACACGTCTAGCAGAAGAAGACGAGGCGCCTTCTGGTGTCCCTCCTCTCTGTAATGTCCCCTGTGGTCCAAGCAGAAGCCTGTAATCGGTCCCCCATCAGCACTGAGCCACGTCCGTCCCTCCCACAGTCCGGGACACGTCTCATTTATAACGTCCTGAGCACGAAAGTGTGTTTCCAGGGTTCTTTGTGAGAGAGAACCGCTCACAGAACCTGCTTTAGATGACAGTTCATCACGGACCCTTCGAGGTTCTGGTTGGGATCTTCAGTGTAACGGAATTGAGTCACGGTGTCATTTTCAGAAGGCTCCTCACGTGTGTTGCTGAGGGCCCCTGTTTCATGCTTCATGCTAAGCTAACTTTGCATTAAGAGCTCGGACACGAGTCCATCTTCTCTTATTCTGAGAAGGAAAACAAACGTGCAGAGACGGGTTTGCGTGGTGAAGCGGGTTTCGCAGCGAGGACACAAGCCGACTCGCATCAGGCGCTTATGTAACCGTGTGACTGGGAAAGGGAGGACTGGTGAGATCATTAGACTTCCTTGTTTGGTCCCGGACCAAAGCGAGCCGGTGGAGCAGCTCCTCCGTCCTGCGTGAAGCTTCACACAAGCCTCAGTGTTTAAAGACGCACGCCGGCTTCACGGCTTCAAGTAACCCGCCGCTGTCCCCGTCTGACCCCCGAAGCCAGAGCCAGGAAGGCCGCGGAGAAGGAGGCCAAGGCGAAGAGGCAGAAGTCACCGAAGCCCACCAAGAGGCCCAAAGCCCCGAAGCCCACCAAGAAGCCCAAAGCCCCGAAGGCCACCAAGAAGCCCAAGACGCCCAGAGCCACCAAGAAGCCGAGGGCGGCGACCACGAGGCAGCCGGACGCGGGGGGAAGCCCCGCCCCCGGCGAGGAGGAGGAGGAGCTGGGCCGCGTCACGCGTGAGTATCACCGAGGGAGGGCAGAGGAAACCGACTATCAATGATTAAATCAATGATCAGTAAGTGTTTGAGTTGATCCCCAGCGGCTCCAGCCGCGACCCCGACGGACGCCGGGTGGGAGGAGCCAGTGGAGCCGGACCTGGGTGAGACTTCAGAGGCCCTTTAACGGACACATTAAAAACCTTCACAGGGGAGTGAATGATAAATATAAACGTATATAAATCAATTAACCACTAAAGATATCCAAGAGTTTGTTTTATAAATAATGAACAGATTATTATTGATTAAGAGTTTAGTTTTCTCTCTATGCTGACGATGTTGTACTGTTATAACCACGTTATAATAGTTAATAACACAGTATCGTGTGTGTTCCTCACAGATTTGTCGCGTGGTCGATATCCTGACAAACACGCTGCGACCGCCGAGGTCACCGTGTTCATACCAGGTGCGCCGCATCAGCAGGACGTTGTGTTTTTTCTGACCTTTAACCTCTGACGGTGGAATAAATAAGTGTGTAATCAGCTATTTGCTTGTTTCTCAGAGGAAACCACCTCCGGTCCATACGTGGTCCCCTGGTACGAAGAGTACGACTACGCCGACCGTACGTCCAGCGTCAGCACAACGTCCCATCAATACGTTCATCGATACTTAGCGGTCGCTGCAACGAGACGAACTTTGACCGATGCTTCTCTCCACAGTGGCATCGAAGAAACAGGAGGAGGAGGAGGAGAGAGCGCGGAAGGAAAAGGCAGAAAAAGGTCCTTTACTTTACATTTTGTGGATATCGTGAGAATGAATCCGCCTCTTTAAATTGTCCCAAAATGCTCCGTTTAAAACCACAGCGAGAAGCTGTTTGAGGAGAACGAGCTTCGTTTCATCATGAAAATGTACATTCGTCTTTTAATCAATTTAATTAATTCTCCGCCTGCTTGTTATAAGAGAAAGAGGAGATGGAGGCAGGAGGAGCAGCTCCTCCCTCAGAGCCCAGCTGAGGATCTCCTGAGGAACTGAAAACATTTAATAAAGTCTCACATGAAGAAAAGACCACGAAATGGACCAAAGCGTCTGGAAGGAGAGCGAGGAATGCACGGGTTCATGGGTGGAGGTTCATGGGTGGAGGTTCATGGGTGGAGGTTCATGGGAGGAGGTTCATGGGTGGAGGTTCATGGGTGGAGGTTCATGGGAGGAGGTTCATGGCGGGTGCAGGGCATCACCAATAGTAATGAACCTCCGTTCATGGGTGGAGGTTCATGGGTGGAGGTTCATGGGAGGAGGTTCATGGCAGGAGGTTCATGGGTGGTGCAGGGCATCACCAATAGTAATGAACCTCCGTTCATGGGTGGAGGTTCATGGGAGGAGGTTCATGGGTGGTGCAGGGCATCACCAATAGTAATGAACCTCCGTTCATGGGTGGAGGTTCATGGATGGAGGTTCATGGGAGGAGGTTCATGGCAGGAGGTTCATGGGTGGTGCAGGGCATCACCAATAGTAATGAACCTCCGTTCATGGGTGGAGGTTCATGGGTAGAGGTGCACAGCGGGAGGCTTGTGGGTGGAGGTGCACAGCAGGAGGCTCGTGGGTGGAGGAACATGTGGAAGTGTTTTGCTTTGACAACTGTTGTTTTCTCGTCACGGAGAGAAGCTGCGCGGCTGAAGAAGGAGTGGGAGGAGGAAGAGGAGGAGCGCCTGAAGAAGATCTCACTCCCTGTTGAGCAGAAGAGTAAGTTCTCCCTTTATACTTCTCAAGCTGCAGACACTAGTGTACTCAAATACACATCTCAGAGGTACATGCAGTACTTCTCTTCCTGTTGGTGTCCCCCCGTCAGAGTGTCCCCCTCTGGGCCTGGAGTCCCACCGGGTGGAGGACGACCAGCTGCTGGCCTCGTCCCAGGCTCAGCACGGCGTTGGCGCCCACCGAGGCCGCCTCAACATGCAGGTTAGAGCCCGGCGGCGCGTCTGTTGGTGGGTTGTGATGCTAACTGAGCGTGAGAAAAGCTAACGTTGGCGCGCAGGGCTCCGGCGACCACGACAACCTGCACGGCGGCGCCTGGTGCGCCGAGCCCGAGGAGAGGGAGCACTGGTTCCAGGTCGACGCCCGGCGGGAGGTGGAGTTCACCGGGGTCATCACGCAGGGACGCAACTCCAAGCAGCTGTGAGTAGAAGGTCCACCAACGGGGGCGAAAATAGACCATGAATGAAGTTTTAAAAAGCAGGAAGATATTCTTCATACTTTAGTGTTGAACGTTTAGAGTTTCCACAATTATCTTCAAGGTCAAAAACGCGATATTGGAGGCAACAACGAGCTGAAAACAAAGGTCGATTTTTAAAGCCTTGATGTTGTTCTGGAGGCTATTTAACATGGCGGAGGGGGGGTCAAGTAGCTTAAGGGGAACGTGTTAACACGTTAACCATCTGGTAAGCATGTAGAACACGCTCCCTCAGCTCAGTACAAATCACTGCATCCCTTTTCCTCCACAGGGAGGACTTCGTGTCCTCCTACTTCGTGGCCTTCAGCAACGACAGCCGCGACTGGAAGACCCTTCACGACGGCTACGCCGAGTGGGTGAGCGGCCAAGTACACGTGGTACACATGGTACACATGGTACACGTGGTACACGTGGTACACATGGTACACGTGGTGTCGGAGAAGGCGCTCGCGCTGCTGACGGACACGTCTCCGCTGTCCTCTCCGTCCTCTCCTGCAGTTGTTCTACGGGAACGTGGACAGGGACACGCCGGTGCTGGGCCAGTTCTCGCCGCCCGTGGTGGCGCGCTACATCCGCATCCTGCCGCAGAGCTGGAACGGCAGCTTGTGCCTCCGAGCCGAAGTCCTGGCCTGCCAGCTCCCCAGTCAGTGTATTCAGACGGCTTCCTCCCCCCTCACAGGAGAAGCTCGTCCTCCGCCTCCAAACGGCCGGGTTCCACCTGTCGCTCCAGTCTACCTGCTACCTAAGAACATTTTAGAGCAAAATGAGCTTCAATTTGACCAGCTGCAATATTTCAATATCTTATATGAATGCATTAGAATTATAACAACATAATCCAATGATATCGCTGATATTATCTGAAATGGAGCATTTTGAATAATAATAACTTTTATTTCAGTACATGATGAAGTTTTGAAAGCAGGACTTGGAGGTAGAATCAGTACTCAAACAGAGTCGCTTCTTTCAGGCAGCTACCGCAGTGAGAATGACGTGAACTCATCCGACGACCTCGACTTCCGACATCACAACTACAAGGAGATGAGACAGGTCTGTTTTCTGTTCCTGTCAATCAGCGTGAAGCCCCGCCCTAAAGCACCCACTGCCTTATGGTCGATTAAACTCATGTTTACACTGTTTACTGAGGGAAGTAGATTCGTTTTCTCGTAGACGTCTATGGGAGCGGAGGAGTCGCCCCCTGCTGGTCACCAGAGAGAATGCAGCTGTAACACATGAGGAACGGCGGCCTGCCTCCTGATTCTGACTGATGAAACTATAACGGCATCATGAATGTCTCTTTTCTGCTCCAGATGATGAAGGTGATAAACGAAGAGTGTCCCAACATCACCAGGATCTACAACATCGGCAAGAGCTCTCAGGGCCTGAAGATGTACGCCATGGAGATCTCTGACAATCCCGGGGAGCACGAGACGGGTACGAGACCACCGAGACCAAAGGACACAACGAGACCTTTAAGCAGCCTAACGTCTGACATCCCCCCCCCCCCCCGTCGCCACCAGGTGAGCCGGAGTTCCGGTACACGGCCGGTCTCCACGGCAACGAGGCGCTGGGTCGCGAGCTCCTCCTCCTGCTGATGCAGTTCCTGTGCAAGGAGTACAAAGACGACAACCCCAGGGTGCGCCGCCTGGTGGACGGCGTGAGGATACACCTGGTGCCCTCGCTCAACCCCGACGCCTACGAGCTGGCCCACGAGATGGTGCGAGTGTAGCAAAGTAGTGTTGAGGAGACAAAAGGCCGAAATGTCCTGTGAACTATCATATATATATATATATATTCTCCAGGGCTCAGAGATGGGGAACTGGGCTCTGGGCCACTGGACCGCGGAGGGTTACGACATCTTCCAGAACTTCCCGGACCTCAACAGCATCCTGTGGGGAGCCGAGGACAGAGGCTGGGTCCCTCGCATCGTCCCCAATCATCACATCCCACTGCCGGAAAACTCCCTCAACGGCTCCGTGAGTTGCTTTTCAAAGCTGTTCTCCCTGAAACAATCGGCAAAGCTACGGTTATTATATTATTATATTATCACTAACTAACCATCATTCTTTCACTACCGTCAGATTTGTATCATTCTGACAGTCTTTGAACACACCACGGGTGATGAACATCTCAATCACGTAAAGCTCGTTTAATCTGTGTCTCATTTGAAATTTTGCCACAAAGACAATTTGCTTGAACCAAATTCTGTTAAAAACATCCAATTCTGAGTGAAATTATGAAGATTTGATGATTGATGCACCTGAGACCAACCGTCATGTGACAATGAATCAGAAGAACCCTGAGTGAACCTCAAGCTGCTGAACACGTATACAAAGCGCTTAATATGTGCAGCGCACGGAGCCTTTGTTTATTTTGATCCAATATTGGCAAAAGAAAAAGTTGTGCATCAGTAGTTGTAACGCCGCGCTCGCGATCTACGCGACTTCTCTCTGCTCCTCGTTTCTCAGCTCGCCATGGAGACCAAATCCATCATCTCCTGGATGCAGCGAACCCCGTTTGTTCTGGGGGCCAATTTGCAAGGAGGAGAGAAGCTGGTGGCGTATCCTTTCGACATGCAGCGCCCATCGATCTCTGTAAGTCTTCACCCTCTTTAGACGGACGATCCCCCCGGCCGGCCGCTAACCCCCGACATGCGCTTTACTCTGACCAAAGTCGGCCGACAGGCGGCGCTGGAGAGGCAACGGCGAGATGAGCGAGGAGACGTGGGCCCGCATCCAGCGGCAGAACGACGGCTCCCTGCGGGAGACGCCGGACGACGCCATGTTCCGATGGCTCGCCATGTCGTACGCCCACAGCCACCTGACCATGACGGAGACCTACCGGGGCTCGTGCCACGGGGACGACATCACCGGGGGCCAGGGCATCACCAACCGGGCCAGCTGGGCCCCCGTGGTGGGCAGTAAGTCTGGGGGTGGCGTGGTAGCTCCGGGGGCCCGTGGCTGAGCTCCTCCTCTTCCTCATCATGCTCCTCCTCCTCCTCTCCCGCAGGTATGAACGACTTCAGCTACCTGCACACCGACTGCTTCGAGCTCTCCGTCTTCCTGGGCTGCGACAAGTTTCCCCACGAGAGCGAGCTGGCTCTTGAGTGGGAGAACAACCGCGAGTCTCTGCTGTCCTTCATCGAACAAGTGAGAAGTGGAATCAAAGTAAAAAAGGTCCCTGTTCTGTTCTCCATGTGGTGGAGAAGGGAGGTGGAACCTCCGGTTCCTTAAAGTAAACACAGAGCTCCACGTGTTAAAGCTGCATTCTGTGTAGTGACCAGCAGGGGGCGACTCCTCTGCTCCCATAGACGTCTATGAGGAAATGACTCTACTTCTCTGTAGTGACCAGCAGGGGGCGACTCCTCTGCTCCCATAGACGTCTATGAGGAAATGACTCTACTTCTCTGTAGTGACCAGCAGGGGGCGACTCCTCTGCTCCCATAGACGTCTATGAGGAAATGACTCTACTTCTCTGTAGTGACCAGCAGGGGGCGACTCCTCTGCTCCCATAGACGTCTATGAGGAAATGACTCTACTTCTCTGTAGTGACCAGCAGGGGGCGACTCCTCTGCTCCCATAGACGTCTATGAGGAAATGACTCTACTTCTCTGTAGTGACCAGCAGGGGGCGACTCCTCTGCTCCCATAGACGTCTATGAGGAAATTACTCTACTTCTCTCTTGATTTATTCCCTCAGTAAACATTGTAAACATGAGTTTATGGTCTCAGTCTCTAGTTTCAAGTCGTCTTCAGCACAGCGTGATGTTCATTTAGTGAATGTACCTGTGCAGGTAAATCGAGGGATAAAAGGTGTGGTGAGAGACGTGGAGGGAAACCCGCTGCCCAACGCCACCATATCTGTGGAGGGAATACGGCACGACGTCAGAACCGGTACGTCGGGCATTCTTTGTGTTCTACAGGACGATGATGACTTGTTTTGGTGAAGAACTCTTCTCCCTGAACCCACTTCAGCCGCGGGCGGCGACTACTGGCGTCTGCTGAACCCCGGCGAGTTCAGGGTCACCGCCAAGGCAGACGGCCACACCCCTCAGACCCGGCTGTGCATGGTGGGCTACGACTCCGGCGCCACGTCCTGCAGCTTCACCCTGGCCAAGTCCAACTGGAACCGCATCAAGCAGATCATGGCGCTGCACGGCCAGAGGCCCATCCGCCTTGTGCCCAAGGTCAGCGCGCCCAAGGCGACCACGCCGGCCGCCAGCCCGCCGGCGCCGACCCTCGACAGCCACTCGGCAGCGCAGAAGGCGGAGCGCCTCCGGAGGCTCCGCGTCCTTCGTCTGCGGCGTCTGCGGCAGCAGAGGCTGAGAGCCGGTTTCACCGCCGCTCCTGCCACAACAACAACAACAACCACCACCACAACAACAACAACGGCCCCCTCCACCACGCCCGAGGCCGCGGGGACCACCTCCTGGTACGACTCCTGGTTCCCGGTGGACAGCTGGATGACGGAGAACCCGTTCGACAGCGTCGGCTTCGACGCGGCGCCCACGCAGGATTACCCCTTCGAGTACACCATCGACTGATGGCTCCTCCCCCTCAGCTGCATCACCAGACGTCCTGCTCCTCCGTCTGACGTCCACCAGGAGCCAAAAAGCTGCTTCTATCAGCGTGTCGCATTTACATATTATGTACATGCATGTAGTGTGTATGTTTATGTGGGTCCAGGGGCGTGAAAACTCCACACATATTAGTTCGTATGTAGAAGCTTCCTTCATGGTGCTCTTCTTCTGAACATGGACCCTTTCTACAGCTTCACCAGCTAGAAGGTATTTGTATTACATCCACCCCACTAGGTCCTTTATTATCTGTGGCTTTTCAAACATAAATATCCATGCATGTAGATGTACATTTACATCGTGTGCTAGAACCTGAACTCCAGAAACACGTCACAGGTTCTACTCTGAGCAGCACTCACTCACCAGAAGAACTCATTAGAAGATGAACTGCAAATTTGGAATTAAAGCGCAATGTGAGCGTTTAGAGTCCAGTTCAGAGGGAAATTAAAGCGACTTAAAAGTCAACGTCCATTAGAGAAATGTTCCTTCGGGAAGTCTTCACAGATCTGGATGGAAACCTTCTGCTGAGCAGAGACGGCGTTCTGTCAAGACACACGTCATGTGATTCGCTCCTTCGGTTTATCTCTCTGATTCTTAACGGCTTCACGGTGCGATTGCTGGTCTCAGTTAAACTGAATGCATTTTATTAAAAGTGTTTTTCTAAAAAGACCCGTGTCCGTGTTTTACTTGGTTACATAATCTACATAATCTACCTGATCTTCATGTGTTGAGGCTGCATTCTCTCCATTGGCCACAAGGGGGCGACTCTGAGAAGTAATCATGGCCCCAAAGCAACACCAACAAGTAAGAAGAAATCACTTTATTTTAACAACATCCTCAATGTTTCCACAACACATTCATCAGAAATAAGAACAGATACTGAACTCCTCACGAGTCCTCCTGGCGAAGGCTTCGGCGCTCGCCGGTTTCCGTGGCTACGACCGGCTGCTCCTCGCCCCGCTGTACTGGAAGCTCTTCAGAGGGTTCTTCCCACCGAGGTTCTTCTACAGGAGGAGCGATCAAACCACCGTTACCACTAAAGCACTGATGGTGGGGGCTAAAAGGTTCAGAAGGTTCCACACACACTTTTCTAGCAGATGTTTGGTTTATAGAAACATCTGTGAGCTGATGTGCCGTGTGAGCTTAGTCATCTTATTTTTAACATCTGAGAACAGTCAGACGAGTTGGAGCTGCTGTTTCACGTCGTACGTCCACCCAGACTCGTTCTTCTCACCTTGAAGCTGCTCCTCACGACTCCGGCCGGCTTCGATCGGAGCGCCGTCTTCCTCCTCCTGCGGGCGGACAGCGGGTTCACGCAGCCCTTCAGCGTCTCAGGAACTGGAGGACATCGGGGAAGAGGACGAGTTAACGTCTCTCTACGAGGACTCCGGTACACACATGAGGTACTTTGTACTTCTACGACATAGTACTTATGAAGGTACCTGACATTCTACTCTGCAAACTAAAAGCATTAAAAAGGTCAATGTAGACGATTCTGCTTGAGGTACTTGGTGTCCTACCGAGGTACTCGGGGACGTTCCTCAGGTGGGGTTTGATGACGGCAGGGTGGAGGTCTTTGTCGTGTCGGAGCAGCTGAAGGTCTCTGGGGTTGTCCTCGAAATACGTCTGAGAAGACACCGACACGCCTCATTACAGAGCGACGTCCACACACCACCTCCTCCTCCATCCTCCTCCATCATCCTCCCCCATCCACACACACCTCCTCCGTCATCCTCCTCCTCTCCATCCACACACCTCCTCCTCACTCCATCCACACACCTCCTCCTCACTCCATCCACACACCTCCTCCTCACTCCATCCACACACCTCCTTCACCACCTCCCCATCCACACACCTCCTTCACCACACCTCCTCCATCATCATCCTCCTCCTCCTCCTCCATCCACACACCATCATCATCCTCCTCCATCATCATCATCCACACACCTCCTCCATCATCATTCTCCTCCATCCACACACCTCCTCCTCCTTCACCACCTCCCCCATCCACACTCCTCCTCCATCCACACACCATCATCATCATCATCCCTCCTCCTCCTCCATCATCATCATCATCATCATCATCCACACACCTCCTCCTCCTTCACCACCTCCCCCATCCACACTCCTCCTCCATTCACACACCTCCTCCATCATCCTCATCCACCACCTCCCCCTCCACTCACCTTGAGTTTCTCCGAGTTGAGGAGCTCCTGCTTGATCTCCTTCAGCCGGGCCTCCCTCACCGCCTGCTTCGTCACGGAGCGCATGGCGTCCTGCAAAGGAGGCGGTTCATCAACAAAAGCCGTCATGTGAGCGACGTTATGTGAGCAGCGTCATGTGATCGACGTCATGTGAGCGCGGCACAGAAGAAACGACGATGACGATGATGTCACTCACCCTGCACCTGTACCTGAAGCCTTCGATCTCCTCCATCCTGAACGTGTACGGTTTGAGAACAGAGTCGGCATTATCTAGAGACGACACACACCAGGATCTTACTGCAGCTGCTCGGATGACGCGGTGCCTTGCTCATGAGCAGCGCGCCAGTTGCTACAGACTCTTAAACACCTAAACACTTGTTTTAGTTTGTTTTACCTCCCGCCAGCGCCTCCTCCACCTCGGCCAGCAGCGCCAGCTCCGGTGTGGGAGGACCAGGGACAGCGCCGTGCCGGGGTGGTCCGCCCTCGCCGTCCTGACCAAAAACATACAAAAACACCATCAGCGTCTGGTGAATAACGCAGCGCGGCGGAGCGAACGGAAGGAGGACCCACCTCCCCACCCGGTGGATGTACGACTCCACCGTCAAGGGGAAATCAAAGTTGAGGACGTTGGCGACGTTTTGGAAGTCGACCCCTCTGGAGACCCCGAACTCTTTGTCCTTTGACCTTTGAAGACATCGATGACACGTCAAAGATTAAAAGGCCCTACTGTCGATCATCTTATCCGGTGTCAGTCTTCATAAGGGCACCAGACTCCAGTGAGAAACGCACTCGTTTAACTCCGTCAGTGTGTGTTGATGTGTGACATGTGACTCATATAAACAGCTACTGCCGTTTTCCGAGAGGTAAAATCTCTGTTTTTGTGAATGGAGTCTGGTGCCTTTGAAGGGATCAAACATTACAGCTTCCTGACATCTAGGTAACAGGATACAAATATTCTACACAACGTTCACTCAAACCTCTGAAGGGAACCATCTAAACCACTTCCAGAGTCTCCCTCCACTCACTTTCCTGCTCTCTCCGAGCTCCTCTTCTTCTTCCCTTTGCCGGCCGGCGGCGCGGCGGCCGGGTTCGCCAGACTCTGCTCGTCTGTGGCGATGATGTAGTCGTAGAAGCCCTGGTTGAACTGCGTGATGATGTGACACCTGCAGCAGGAGAAGATTGATTGACAACCGGCGCTGCGCGTTCGCAGTGGAGCGGCGAAACCCACGAGCCGATGGCCTCACCTGGACTGGACGGGCAGCTCCGAGTTCAGCACGCAGGCGGGAATACCGAACTGCTCCATGAAGAGTTTGAGTCTGTAGCTCCGGTCCACCGTGCCCACGAAGACCAGCGTCTTCCCCTGGACCAGACGCAGCTTCAGCAGCGTGTAGACCAGCAGGAACTTGTCCTCCTCCTCACACTTGATGCTGTACTGCTGCAGCTGGCTGCTGTCGGGGAGCTGAGAGCCCTGGAGCTTCAGGACCACCTGAGGGGGACACGCAGAGACGGCGTGAGGCAGCGGCCTCCTCTGAAGAGACGGTGGGAGCGGGACGCCGGCATTACGGGGTTGTGCAGCAGCAGCTCCTTCAGGGCCTGAACGTCCTCGGTGAAGGTCGCCGACATCAGGAACGACTGGTAGATCTTCGGCAAGTGGCTGTTTGACACCAAGAACACACAAAGGCTTCGTTTAGTAGCGAAATACAGGCTGTGTTCCCTCTAGTGACCAGCAGGGGGCGACTCCTCTGCTCCCATAGACGTCTATGAGGAAATGACTCTACTTCTCTGTAGTGACCAGCAGGGGGCGACTCCTCTGCTCCCATAGACGTCTATGAGGAAATGACTCTACTTCTCTGTAGTGACCAGCAGGGGGCGACTCCTCTGCTCCCATAGACGTCTATGAGGAAATGACTCTACTTCTCTGTAGTGACCAGCAGGGGGCGACTCCTCTGCTCCCATAGACGTCTATGAGGAAATGACTCTACTTCTCTGTAGTGACCAGCAGGGGGCGACTCCTCTGCTCCCATAGACGTCTATGAGGAAATGACTCTACTTCTCTGTAGTGACCAGCAGGGGGCGACTCCTCTGCTCCCATAGACGTCTATGAGGAAATGGCTCTACTCAGTAAACGTTGTAAACGTGAGTTTATGGTCTCCGTCTCACCACAACAAGCTCTTCAGGTCGGCCTCGAAGCCGAAGGAGAAGAGCAGGTCGGCCTCGTCGACCACCAGCATCTCCAGGGACGAATGGAGCACCAGGTTCTGCGCGGCGAGGTGGGCGAGCACGCGGGACGGCGTCCCCACGACCACGTCGGGCTTCTCCATTAAGACGGGCCTGTTCACAGCAGCGTCAATGTGTTTACGTGTGTCGATGACATATGCACGCACGCACACGCACACGCACACACACACACACTCCACCCCCCGACCCGCGGGACTGACCTCTGAGCGGACAGGTCCGTTTTCCCCGGTGACGTCGGCCACTCGGACGTCCCTGGAGCAGAAGGCCGCCAGCTGCCGGATCATGGCCTGGACCTGCTGACCCAGCTCTTTGGTGGGAACCAGGATCAGGGCTCGCACGTCCTGCTCGCGGACGCTCTGAAGACAACGCACCGACCCAAAGAACGAACGAGTGAGCGGACCGGAGGAGGAAGAGGAGGAGGAGGAGGAAGCGCCGGGTGACACCAGCTTGTCCCCTCACCTGTTTGGAGGCCAGGATGCGCTGGATGACCGGGACGGCGTAGGCGGCGGTCTTCCCCGATCCGGTGCGAGCTCGCGCCAGCAGGTCTTTCCCCTCCAGCGCCAAAGGGATGGCCTTCTCCTGGATGAGGGTCGGCTGGGACCAGCCCAGGTCTGCAACCGCCTGAGGGGCGACAACGAGAGGAGATCCGGCACCTCTTCAGCCAAACGGCCCGCTTTACCGATGCGCGCCTCTCACAGAGAACCAGGAACATTTACAATCATCAGAGACACATCAGTACTTTTACAGGTAGATTTAGCTGATACTTTAGAAAGGTTTTGTTAAACAAATAAATCGTATTTGAGTGTTTTCATAATTTACCTGGAGCCGACACATAAAATAATAAAAGCATCACACGTTTCTATCGGAAACCAACGTTTCAAATGTCACGCGGAGAAAGACATAAACTCCTTTATACACTTTAAAAAAACCGTGTTATGTATTTTTAAAGGTATTTCTAACGTGCGTGTTCACGTCTGTGTTGGTCGACGACGCACGAGACGATCGCGTCTCCGGATTCACGTCGCGTTTGCGAGACTTTTCTTGGGTTTAAACCGTTCGGCCGCGCGTCGAACGACTCGTTGCTAAGCTGCTGTCGGGCGGCTCGTTACCTTTAGAAGCCGGTCGTCTAAGCCCATCTCATGGAACTGAAGCCTTTCTGCAGCCATCTCCGCGACTCTCTCCGCGCACACGTGCGTCGCAGGGATATGACGTCACGTGGCCTTCAAGTCCCTCCTCCGGAGCTCCGCCCCTACGAGCCGCTTACTCGTTCTAAGATAAAAGAAAATAACATTTCTCATTTTTCCCTTTTTTTCCAACCAAAAAATCAATCGATTGTCGATTGTTGTTGTTGTTGAAATAATCATTTGATGAATTCATACTGAAAATAATCATCAACTAATAATTCAAAATGAGCTCCACCTCAACCAACTACAACAGTAAAATCCTAGTTTTAATAAACTGTAGTCATAATAACCAAATGATTAAATATATAACAGTCACGTTCTGAACACAGACTACAATTTACCAATTGTACCAACATACCTTCACTGTAGGGACCCACGATCAACGCAGGATTATCTTCACAGTGTGGAGATGTACGAGTTCTTCCTCCTCCACCTGAACGCACCTCACGGCGAGAGTGTTTTTCTTTCCCCGCATTCCGCCGGCAGGTGGCGTCGCACTGGCGCCTCATTAACAATTAAGCGTAACAAAAAGAAACACGTTTCAGCGGATTTGAAACCACAACAACACCAGTAAACAACACACCGTACCCGCGCACGCACGCACGCGCACACGCGCACGCACACGCACGCGGCTTTCACCCCGGATCCGTGGGGGTCACGTGCGTCTGGAGGAGGACTTGTTGAGAAGATGTCTGCTGGAGGAGGCTGAGGAGGAGGCTCTCCTCTCCCCACCCAGCCGGCAGCGCGCATCGGCGAGGCAACATGGCCGCGGAGCAGCTCCCCCGCAGCGCGGAGACGCGCGACCGGCCTGCGGTAAATAACAACAAACCTCCGGTAAATAACAACAAAACCTCCGGTAAATAGCAACAAACCTCCGGTAAATAACAACAAAACCTCCGGTAAATAACAACAAAACCTCCGGTAAATAGCAACAAAACCTCCGGTAATTAGGAACAAATCTCCGGTTAATAAGAGCAAACCTCCGGTAAATAGGAACCATCCTCCGGTAAAAAAGAACAAAACCTCCGGTAAATAACAACAAAACCTCCGGTAAATAGGAACCATCCTCCGGTAAAAAAGAACAAAAACCTCCGGTAAATAAGAGCAAACCTCCGGTAAATAGGAATAAGGCGCACGGGGGAACCGGCTTATTTAGTAGTTTGGGTCACGCGGAGACGCTGCTGAGGATCATAACAATGAAGCCACAGGTTCACGTTCCATCATCCACAATATAATAATATTCCCTCATTCGGTTTAATTGTCGTTAGTATTTATTGCTTAACGTGTAATGAAATGCCCCCCCCCCCCCTCCTCAGATTAAATGGCCTTCATGTCCCGGTTCTCCCGTCCCGGAGCAGCTCCCGGTCTCCGAACCGAAAGGAGTCCGAGCGCGTGTCCGTGACGGTGTCGGAGCTGGAGCGGCTCCTGTGCACCGGCAAGACCGCCTGCAACCACGCGGACCAGGTGTGGCGCGGCTCTACATCGGAGACCAGTGAGTAGTACACCTGTTACTGCAGTACAAGTACAGCAGTGCTGCACAAGTACTCCTCCGGGTCAGAAACGCTCGTGGGATCAAAAGTGAAAGTGCACATTGTGCAGGATGTAATATTGGCGTTGCAGCTGCAGGTGGAGCTCTTTTAATTATGTTTAATAAGGTAAAAACAGCATAATGTGGATTGTCGTTGTTTAACCCCCCCCCCCGCAGAGACGTGGCGTCGGACCGCCGTGAGTTGGCCAAGCTGGGCATCACGCACATCCTGAACTGCGCACACAGCAAGTGGCGCGGCGGCGCCGAGTTCTACGCCGACATGCGCGTGACCTACCACGGCATCGAGGCCCACGACTCGCCCTCCTTCGACATGAGCGTCAACTTCTACCCCGCCGCCGACTTCATCCACCGGGCGCTGGCGGCCGGAGGTCGGTCTGAATAAGGCTCTGTTTCAGCCAGTCAAAGGGTTCTCAAACCAAGCGCCTCCCTTTCAGCTCCGAGTTTGGTCTCCTCCTCGTGAGACGGACGCAGGAGCGTAGAGTTTAATCAGATAGCCGATGAAATGGAACCACGAAGCTCCGTAAAGCCGAGCAGAGCTTTAAATCCATCACATGCTCCCGTGGTTGTTTTCTGACGGAAGTCAAAGATAATAATGTCGAGAAGAAGAGCGCTCCATGAAGCTCCCGCAGCAGGCTGACGGTGTGTTCCGTGTGCAGGGACGGTGCTGGTCCACTGCGCGGTGGGGGTGAGCCGCTCCGCCACGCTGGTTCTGGCCTACCTGATGATCCGACAGAACCTGACGCTGGTGGAGGCCATCAAGACCGTGAAGGACCACCGGGGCGTCATCCCAAACCGGGGCTTCCTGCGCCAGCTCAGCGGCCTGGACAGCATCCTGAGGGACAGCCGGAAGGCGTCGCCCCCGAGCTAAATTTCTATCTTTTTAAAGACGTTTTTATTTAATTGTATCTTGTAGTTTGTGTTTGAGTCGTAATCCACAGTAACGTCCTTCTTCTTCTACGAGACCACGAGAATCTTTTTGACCCAAACTTCGGACCATTCCACGTGGACCCGGTGCTCCACTGAACCAGCAGAGAAGAACCAAGCAGAACAGGACCTTGGGTAGCTACGCCTCGGCAGGGACCCGCACACCGAGTCTCCTCGGGGGGGGGGGGGTCTCTCCTTTCAGGAAACTGGAGGTCTTCAAACGAGAGGGGTTTCCGGCGCCCCCCGTGGACTAAAGGGGTAGTGTGTCCTCCCACCAGGGCCCCCTTTAGAGAACCTCTCATTCTCCCGGTCTGCCTCTCAGTCCTGGTTCTGGTTCCCCCGGGTCCTCATCAATGAGTTAAGGTGATTTACAGCGTACAGCATCCAATAAAAGACCAAATAGGAGGTTGCCATGGAGACAACAGCACTGCCACTGGCCCCCGTCGTGCTGCCAGTCCTCTTCAGGTCTCCTACCGGACCGCTCGGGCGGGGGCTCAGCTTTCCTCTGTGGTCCAAATCCTCCCTCAGAAATAAGTGATTCTCTGTAGCCCCCAATTACAGTACTAAGCCTCTGCAGGTCTTCCCTCGACTCACCTTTGTACATTCAGCAAGTGTCATTAAGAGCCCAGAACCACCACCGAGGCCCCGGTCTGAAACCAGCACAGCTACGTGTCACAGATTATTGTTACAAATGATTGTGTCACAGATTATTGTGTTACAGATAATTGTGTTACAAATGATTGTGTTATTGTCGTGTTTGTACAGTGTTCAATGTGTCGTTTCAATTTGTAGTGGGACGATCTGAAATTTGTCCCGGCGGAGAAGAGGGTCCATTTGGACGGAGTTGACATCACAGGTGGAGGAATTTAACGTTCACTGGTTTGACCTCTGGTCCTCGTGTGACGCTCACACATTCCGGTGCTTTTTAACCACGTCCAGCGGCGCAAAACATGTAACTATGAGAAGCCGATTGGTGGATTCCTACTTTGAGGGGAAGTGAACATTTAGGACCTTCTCGCAGAGTCAGCAGAGATCGACGTCGCTCCGAGGCGATTAGCTTAGCTTAGCACAAAGGCTGGAGGCAGATGATGTCATCATAGGGACCTCCAATCTTTTGGTTTGAGATTCAAGCTTTTAAAAGCGAATCTCAGTCGGACTCGTCGTGGTATTAACGGTCTCATCCGACCCGACAACATGCACATTCCAAGTAATCTCAAACCGCTCTGCTACAAGTGACTGTTGAATTGGTCGTTTTATTCGCATCATAAGTTCTCGAGGGGCCTCGTCAGGCCGCCATCGCATGCAAGGCGGTTCCATGAGACGCGGTCGTTCTTGGCGTCGTGAAGGCACGAAGCTCCGTTAGTCCAGCAGAACCTGCAGCGCCAACAAGCAGGAAACGCTGTCGCCCCGTTGGTGCACTTTGGATCTGTGGTTCTGTGTCGCTATTCTTTGAGATGAACACGTTTTTTCCTGTTAATGCCTTAACCTGTGTGTGTTCTGCACGTGAAACAATAAAGATGCATGTCAGCGGTTGTGCGTTTGATTCAATTCTGGTTGCGGCAAGAAACAAACTTCATTTAAAAACAACGGACACACAGAAACTCTCAAGTTGATTTATTTAGCTCATCGGCATCATTGTATTCGGAGGGTTTGGTACAACGTGCGGCGGGTTGTTGCGACTATAGCTGCCCGCAGTCGGCGATGAGGACTTTGCTCTTGGGGGTGCCGCTCTGGGAGGCCTGAGCCTCCATCTCCTTCACCACGTCGAGGCCCTCCACCACCTTGCCGAACACCACGTGCTTCCCGTCCAGCCTGCGAGAGAGAAGGGGAGACGTGAGCGGCGCCTTTGACCCGGGGGGGGGGAGGAGGACGCGGCGCCGGGGTCCTGGGGGGGGGGCGGGGGCTCACCAGGTGGTCTTCCCCGTGGAGATGAAGAACTGGGAACCCTTGGTGTTGCTCCCAGAGTTGGGCATGGACAGAATGTCGGGCCCGGTGTGGCTCAGCTGGAAGTTCTCGTCGGCGAACTTCTCCCCGTAGATGGACTTTCCCCCGGTTCCTTTCTGCTTGGTGAAGTCACCGCCCTGAAAAAAGGAACGCTCAGCTTCAAAGGCTCTCTAGACTGGTGTAAAAGTTGAAGGAGCCGGGCGTCACCTGGCACATGAAGTCCTTGAGGGATCCGGTGGAACGGGCAGCCCTTGTAGCCGAAGCCCTTCTCGTGAGTGCACAACGCACGGAAGTTCTCTGCAAGCATCACACGTTTGACAAAGGGAAGAGGTTACGGGTCGGAGCTCGGTACTCGAGGAGGAGGTGCGCAGATCACGTGACGCTCCGCCGTGAGTCACCCTCGTGCAGCTCCTCCTGGAGGAGCCGCGTGATGGCGGTTTGACTCTTCGACAATAATTGCGTATTTCGCCCAGCAGGGGAGGACTTCCTGCTGCGCACCAGCCCGCGCGGCCCTGCACCGCATCGCGCGCGCTCACCTGGCTCTGCAACTGGTTATTCAGGCCCCCCGCACCTCCACCCTCCTCCACCACCACCACCACCCCCCCCAGGGCCTCGCCCCACAGCCCGACGGGCTCCTCAGGTGAGCACGGTCGGCCAATCAAAGAGCCCCCGCGGCTTCCCGCGCACGTACCTGCGGTCTTCGGGACGACGTCGGCGAAGAGCTGCAGGAGGGGGGTGGGTGGGGGTGGGTGGGGGCACGCGGAGGGTTCAGCGCGTCGCGCGCGTGGAGGGTGAAGCGCGGTCGAAAGCGAGGGAAAAGAGACGGAACCGTCAGACACGCAGTGACGTCACGTGAGGAAGTGCGCAGTCGGGCGGGTTCCTTACCTCCATGACAATCCGGCCGGCGGGCTTCCCGCCGATGGTGATGTCGAAGAAGACTTTGGGGTTCCCCATGCTGGCAGACGCGCTCGCGCTTCGGTTCTGATGGCGACGGGAGACAAAACGCACCTGAAAGAACAACGCCTCGGAGGACCGCTGCGCTCCGGCTTTATACGGCCCGTGACGTCAGAGGCTCGCCGCAGCCAATCGCGAACAGGCCTTTCTTCCAGGGCTTCAACGACGCACCAATGGGGGCGAAGGTGGGCGGGTTTAGCGGGAAGCGCCGTCGGCTGGGCAGGACGCGCGCGGGGCGGGGCGGGGCGGGCGGGGCGGGGCTAGCCGCGACAGAAAATGGGGGCCGAGTCGTGTACCGACGTGTTAGAACCTCGGCCGGCAAATACTTCAAAGACGCGTTCATTGCAGATGTTTGTGTTTGATGTCGATTCGCATCCTTCGCTTCACTGGATACGAACGTGTTAAAGGTGGCGCGCACCAGATGTGGAGCCTCCACCGCCTCTCAGCGGGCTGTCACCGTGGCAACGGCGCTGAAATGCAGAGGTTGGGGGGCAGAAACTTTTTACTTCCGCTGCGGCCATAAGACGTCTTATACTATAATACTATGACTCACAGTAAGAACGTAGAACAAACACATCAGAAGTCTTTGACTGGAAAGATAACAGGAAAAAAGAACGTTTCATACACTTGATATTGTAGAGATTGTGTCTTTTGCTGTAATATAAAAGTGATGCCTGTAAGAACCTCTAGTGGTCAAAGGTGTCAATTGTATATATATTTAGGTTGCAACACATATATATTGTTATCAGAGGATTTTAACTGGTTTTCTTCTGACTGGCATCAATCAAATTATTTTGTCATTGTTTTATAAAAAATAAAATAAAATAATTAGTAGTAAAAATCAAACAAATTAAGCTTTCAAGTACTTTTATTTACCCCATTAACATCGTTTTATCCAGAAACGTGGTCCTCAAAGAACGGCTCACGTGTCTAATGAAGGGGACAATGATGGAGACACACGGGTGTCGGGACGTGGCTAATGAAGGGGACGACGTTGGAGACACACGGGTGTCGGGACGTGTCTAATAAAGGGGACAATGATGGAGACACACGGGTGTCGGGACGTGGCTAATGAAGGGGACGACGTTGGAGACACACGGGTGTCGGGACGTGTCTAATAAAGGGGACAATGATGGAGACACACGGGTGTCGGGACGTGGCTAATGAAGGGGACAATGCTGGAGACACACGGGTGTCGGGACGTGGCTAATGAAGGGGACGACGTTGGAGACACACGGGTGTCGGGACGTGTCTAATAAAGGGGACAATGATGGAGACACACGGATGTCGGGACGTGGCTAATGAAGGGGACGATGCTGGAGACACACGGGTGTCGGGACGTGTCTAATGAAGGGGACGATGCTGGAGACACACGGGTGTCGGGACGTGTCTAATGAAGGGGACGATGCTGGAGACACACGGGTGTCGGGACGTGGCTAATAAAGGGGACGATGCTGGGTGTCGGGACGTGTCTAATGAAGGGGACGATGCTGGAGACACACGGGTGTCGGGACGTGGCTAATAAAGGGGACGATGCTGGAGACACCACATGTCAGGATGCAGCTAATAAAGGGGACGTGCGGACTCCGTTGCGCTACTTGAGCTCGCCGCAGTCGGCGATGACGACCTTGGCCTTCGGGGTGCCGCTCTTCGTGCCCTGCTTCTCCATCGCCTTGACCACGTCTGCGCCGTCCACCACGTTGCCGAACACCACGTGCTTCTTGTCGAGCCTGCGGAGAGAAAGGAAGAAGAGGAGGAGCACAGAAGTCTTCCTGGCTCTGGTTGTGGTCCCTCACCAGTCCGTCTTGTCGGTGCAGATGAAGAACTGGGAGCCGTTGGTGTTGGGCCCGGCGTTGGCCATGGACAGCGTCCCCGGGCCCTCGTGCTTCAGCTGGAAGTTCTCGTCTGCGAACTTCTCGCCGTAGATGGACTTGCCGCCGGTTCCGTTGTGGTTGGTGAAGTCGCCGCCCTGAAACGAGAGGAAGAAAAGTTCACAGCAATCACAAAGGAGTGCGAAGCTCTGTGAGGCTCCTCCCCCTCGCTGGTCCTCACCTGGCACATGAACTTGGGGATGAGCCGGTGGAACGTGGAGCCTCTGTAGCCGAATCCTTTCTCCCCGGTGCACAAGGCACGGAAGTTTTCTGTGAAATGAACGTCACTTCATGACATTTAAGTCTCTTTGTGGCTGTTACAACACTATTATAACGCTTTACATGTATTTATAGTAGTTTGTGTCTCTTTCGGTTTACATGTATTTGTAGTAGTTTGTGTCTTTGTGGTTGTTTCATAAGCGTTTACATGTATTTGTAGTAGTTTGTGTCTTTGTGGTTGTTTCATAAGCGTTTACATGTATTTGTAGTAGTTTGTGTCTCTTTCGGTTTACATGTATTTGTAGTAGTTTGTGTCTTTGTGGTTGTTTCATAAGCGTTTACATGTATTTGTAGTAGTTTGTGTCTTTGTGGTTGTTTTCATAAGCGTTTAACATGTATTTGTAGTAGTTTGTGTCTCTTTCGGTTTACATGTATTTGTAGTAGTTTGTGTCTTTGTGGTGGGGGGGGTCCAACATACCTGCAGTCTTTGGGACGACGTCGGCCCGGAGCTGTGAAACAGTTCTTTCAGTTTCTTTCAACAGTTTACAGAGATTTAGAGAAATAAGTAATGATTAAAAACTGTAATCAGGATGTGACTCATTAATCAAACAACATGCAGATAAAAGAGCACGCGGGCGTTTCATCCGCGCAAAGTCCGCCAGAGGCCTTTTTAAACACATTGACATATTAAATATTTATAGATGTGACGTCACCTCCATTACGATCCTCCCCGCGTTGCCTCCATCGATCGTGATGTCAAAGAAAACTCTGGGGTTCCCCATGTTCGTGCACGCGTGCGCGTCTGTGCGGTTTGTGATGGGGACGCGCGCGCGCTCCATCTCTTTATCCCGGTGGTCTGACCGCCCCGGTGACGTGGGGGCCGCCGGTAGCCAATCGCGGGTGCGGACTGATCCGCGAGGTGGCGGCACGGACCAACGGGCGAGTGGGGATGCGAGTGACGTCATGAGATGGCAAAATAAAAGGGTAAATAATAACAGTGAGAATCAAACCCACCCGGAAGTGTTAGGTGCAGTTTTAATTTTTTTTTTTTATCTCATGTGGATGCTTTCAACTATATGACATCATTTCATGTGCATTATTTAGTCAATAAACCTTCTACTACTTGTTCAATATCATTGATAATAACTCTCAATATGAAATACTAGTTTACATTCTGAATCTGTTATTTTCTGTACATTTCATATTTAGTATTTGTTAGTAGGATTTATGTTACACTGAATATTTGTCATTCGATTGTTCATAGGTCTATATTTTCATTGCATTGTTGATTTTCTATTTTATTTGTAAATTAAACTCTGGCGTAAGAATATCCATCAAGGTTAATAAATGTATATCTAAAATGTGTAAAAAAAACACAAACGGTTGAATAATAAAAAGAAAGTATATGAACCAAGTAAATTTAAACTTCCTTCAGCAGGAGAAGATGTACTCAAATCTGTTACCAAAGTAAAAGCACAGTCACATAACTAGTTTAAACATTAAATTAAGTAGAGGTTCTGGAGTTATATTGAAATCAGTTTATTGTGACTTTGTTTTCAATATGCTTTTATTTTGATTTATCTCTTTTAACATAAAAATCAGCTTTATATATATATATATATATATATAAAGCTGATTTTTATGTTTATTGTTTATTTTTGACATTTTTAAGCTGATTAAATAAACAATTGTCACTACAAATGTTAGCAAATATCACAATACACAACCTCAAACTTGTATAGAATGTAGTATGTAGTGTAGAACAATAAAAACATATAATAACCCAATAAATGTCTCACCGCTGAATTAATAAAAACACCAGAAGCTCCACAACAAACTGTTGTCAAATAAAGTGATTTTTAATTCTGAGATTCAGGACAAGGTAACTGCAGGTACAATGAAGGTTATGATTAAAAAATAAATAGAAAATAATGGCAATTACAATGTGTTACAAAATATGTGGAATAGTTTACATTTTAAAAAAACTTTTCCTTTTTTTTCAAGCAAATTTTGCAGTTAAATATTCCGTAATTTTCCAAATATAATATCGCAGCGTTGCTCGATTATTTCTCGCTTCCTTGTTGGACCACGAAGGGTTAAATCATTCATAGAAAAGAAAGAAAAAGACAAACGTCGGCTTCAAAAAGTGGCATCAACAACAGTTTGTCTCACGCCTTTTTACAATAGCTTTATAATTCTTCTAACATACAGTATTTATACGACGATCCGTTATCCAACTAAATATGACGTTAAAAATGACCATAATTGACAAATTCATTTGATACGCACACGTTCTCTAATGAAAACAGCTGATTACACGGTACACGCGTGTTACACGCTATGAAAACTATACCAGGAACACACGGCTGTACTCATTTACAGGATGCTCGAGAGAAAAATAAAGAATAACCTGAATAAAAAGCTTCCAAAGGGGGCGGGACCAAAGGGAGGGAGAGGCGGGAGTTTCTCTCTTAGTTCATATATTTCACAGTGCTCCCAAACGTCACGTTTAGATAAGAAAAGAAAGGCTTTTGTACATCTGCTTTATTTCTCTTTTAGGCCGTTATCTTACATTGCAAAGTCATCTGGAGATTTTCTTCATTTCTGTCAGATAATCTCATGAAAAGATCCAAATTAATACTAATAATATAACGCTAATAATACTATCTACTAACACACGGTGGATTCACCCGCTGCTGAAAGTAGTCGACAAGCAATAATAATAATAATAATGAGATTGTGGTATTTTTTAAGCTGACAATTAATTGATTGTGAAGCCAAAACGTATGAAGAAAGAAAATGTAAAGGTGAATGATTCCCATAATTTAAACATGAAAAGGGCGTCAACTTTTTTTGGTATAAATGAGACTTAAATTTACCCCAAATGGGAGCTTTAAAATAACGGCTTTAGAGTTTCGGCTTGTTAAATATCTCCTTCCTACTCCCTCTTCCTCCTCTTCCTCCTCGACTCCTAAAAGGAATACAAGGCTTCACAAAAGCAGCAATAATTTTCCTTCGGACCAAGGTTTCACCAACCAGAGCCACTCCTCTTCCTACCTTTCACAATAAAAGCCCGAGCCAAATACATCTTCAAAAGGAGAGTGATGCATTTAGGTCTGCTTTTTAATGTGGCATCAAGACAAGTGGAGAGGAGCCAAGGAAAGGAAGCAAGGATGTCCAGAGAAGAGAAGAGCACTGGAACTTTTTATGGGATTAATAAAATATAGAAGAATAAAAGAACATCACAAGCTTTTACGCTTAATGCAGTGGGAGGTTGCATCATGGGGGGGGGGGTTACAGCTCTGGAGACTAAACACAATGTCGATGAGTCTGTGTTTCGTTTCGCGACGACCTTGAGGTAAAAACGGTAGAAACGCGGCGACTACCGGGAATGTGCGCAGTAAAAAAACTAAAAGCGCAAATAACTGTTGAATTAACGTGTCCGTTAAAACCCCCTCAAGCGGCTTCCGTTGACCTCCAGCCTCCACGACCACCACCTGCAGGTTCAACACCGCACGCTCGAATCCGCTTTGTGCCGTCGTTTAAAATGCTGGTCTGAGATCTGTAGCACAGCGGGACGATTCAGAGACAAAAGAAAAGACACACAGAGAACAACCATTTACACTGACGCACACACACACACACACACACACACACACACACACACGGAGAGAGACGGCGCCGTGGTTGTGGAGCGTCGGGGGCGGGGCTACAGCGATCAGAGAGGCGGAGCCGGAAGAGGAAGGCGGTCAGTTGTTCTCGAACAGAGACAGCAGGTCGTCGCTGCTGTTGCTGGGCAGGTCGGGGGGGCCGAGGTAGGACAGCAGCTCGTCCGGGTTGGTCAGCTCAGGAAGAAGCTGGACGACACACACGGGAGTTAAATCAGGATTAATAATCCAGAAGTTGCCGTTTTAAGAGGTGTTAAACGTTTGGGTTAGAGAACGAGAGAGGGGTCCGATCCGGACCGCTAAGGATTATTAGGAAGTATGACGGAGTCTCTGGGGGGGGGGGCGTTAATCTGAGATTAAAGCCTTAAATCAGTGAAACGAAAAAAAATTCCGAGACTATTTAGTCAGAAATTTGCGATAAAAAAAGTTTTAAAAGCATTCTTTGAGATTAACAACATAAATTTACAAGCTAAACTTAAAATCTACGAGAAAAAAAAGACACCCAACGATTCTCCGAGATCTAAATCGTGAATTTACGACGCAACATTTAGAGCTTCTATGAGATTACAAATTCACAAAATTGTAAAAAAAATGTATAATAAATAACAACATGTACAGACAAAAAACTGGTTTGTGTGAGTAAAACATTTGGAAGAAGAGCAAATTAAAATAAATTTTGATTAAGAAATCACCAGAAAATCTCTGAGAATAAAGAAGAGAAGATAATTTAAGATTTAAAATCTAAAATTTTATTCTAAGTCTAAGATTTAAAATCTAAAATTTGGAAGGAAAAACCAAAAACATTTTAAATTAAAGTTGTAGATTTATGAGACAAAAATATCACGAATAATATAACGAAATCCCAAATTCCTGAAATGAATAAAAATTCTCTGAGATAAAACCTTAAGATTATAGAACCACAAATAAAAAAAGTTTGTTAAAATTTGTAAGCTGAATATTTTCTGAGGCTAATCATAAAAAGAAAAAAAAATATTCTCTGTTGATGAATTCACAAATTTACGAGTGAAAAAACTCGACACAAAAGTCTTGAACGTTCTCTGTGATTATTAATCCACCAGAGATGTTACAGTTTAAACGTTTTACTCTTTTGTTTAAAGCCTGTTGTGTCGTTTAAGACTTCTACGCTTTAGAAGTCCCTTGTTAGAGATTCAAAATCTCCACGGGATCATCTTAAATTAATAAAGATGAAATAATTAAAACAGTCATACATTTGCAAGGAACAGTCTCAGCAGCGAGTCGACACCATGGCAACGCCAGCCGGTCATTTCGGGTTATTTCGGTTAGAGAAAAGTTCTGAAAGATGCATTCACACTTTTTCTTTGTTCTTTCATGTTCGTTGTTTCTTTTTTTAAGTGTTATTTCCGAACATGAATGAATTCTAGGAGGATTCATAAATATATTTTGCACTCGGCGGCTCACATTACCGCTGCGTTTACCGGGGGCGTTTGTGGTGTTGATCCAACCGTGCAAAGTGAAGTGATGCGGTTCCTTGAGAAAACAAAAAACAAACAAAAACAAAAACACAATTTTTCCTAGTTTTTTTTTTTCTCGTAAATTTGTGAGTTTTCTCTCGTAAATTCAGCGTTTTAATCTGAGAGAATATCAGAGATATTTAATGCGAAAATTAAGAGGAAGCTAACAAAACAAAAAGGAATCTGGCTTCAAATCTTCGTAAGATAATTCGGAACGTGACGTCCCGAAATGCCTCTAATTGTAGCTTTTACACATTGGGATTTGTTCGGATTAAACAAATGATAAAACCTTTCGGGACATTTTGAGTTGATCAGTCGTCACCTCTGTTTTTTAAATCTATTAACAGAGCTAGCCGTTTCCAGCCTTTATGCTAAGCTAACCTAAACGAAGCTAAGCGTGGTATCAAAGTTCTCGTCTGACTCTCAGAGATTAAGCAGAGTTCAGGAATCTTTTTTAAAATGTGTCCTCTATGATTTTCTGTCACATGATCAGCTGCTGTCCACTCACGTCTAGAGCGTGATCGGCGCCCTCCCCTCCGGGTCCGCCGGGGCCTCCCAGCACGAAGGGGCCCTCGCCCTGCAGCCGGGCATTCTGGGTATTGACACCGCGCTGCGACAGCGGGCTGCCGGCGTCGCCGAGGCCCTGGTTACCGTGGTTACCGTGGACGGCCGAACTGTGCTGCTGCTGCTGCTGCTGCTGCAGGATGCTGTGGGCGTGTTCGATTCGTCCAGAGTGGGACGTCTGGGCGAGTGGAGACAGAGGAGAAATCTTTATTTAATGCACGTAAAACAAACACTAGCTCACGAGACGCCACGCCGAGGGCTCGTGTTGGTGTTTTGGTTTTTTTTCTGGAGAGGCAGTGCACCAGAAGGCCGTGACAGCGGGGAGGGGGGGGTTGGGGTCTGTCGGGGGCAGCTGGTTTGCAGCTCGCCGGCCTGTAAAGACTCTTCAGAGAGCTCACAGGCAGAAGGAGCAGACAGTCAGCTGGTGACACGTAGATTAAATACCAAACGGGTCCAGAGGAGGACGAACAGGACCGGGAGCATTGTGATGAAACGGGGGGGGTTACGAGACAAAACTCTACGATGATACGATTGAGAAAGAGCTTCTTCATCGTAAACAGGCGGCTCTTTCACTGCGTTCTATAGAAGCCAGCGGCCGAGCCTCAGAGCCGCCCATTCACACCGCGGCCGGCTCGTCCATTAAGGCGGCGCCGACTGAACGCGACGGGAGGGGCGGTTGCTATGGCAACGGGGCAACGGGGCCACGCGGGCAGCGCTTTACCTGCTCGGGCTGATATCCCATCGGGGGGCCGGAGGGAGAGGAGTACTCCCCGAGGGTCGGGGTGCCGGGCGTGTTGGGGAAGTCCGAGAATCCCGACTGGCCGGAGAAGCCTCGACTGCCTGAGAAGAAAGAGTTGAGGAGAAGCTGCTGAAACGCCTCCAGCTGCTCACGGCTTCAGCCTTCGCCCCCCCCCAAGTTCACTGCACTAGAGTACCAGTCAAAGGTACACATATGAATGAATATTCTAATTGCATTAAAGTACAATCACTTAAGTAATTTATTACTCTGAGACAATAAATCGTTATTTTCATAATAAGTAACTCACAAAAACACTACGTTTCAAGGTAACAGAGTACTTTCACAGCGGGGTACTTGTACTGCTCTACCTGGCCGGTTGTAGTCGGGGGTGCTCCGCCCCCCGGCGCCCAAGCTGTGGTAGGGCGAGGAGGCGGGGCCCAGGGCGGCGATCATCTCCATCACGTTGGGCAGCACCATGTGACTCGGGCTGACGGTGCGGCAGCGCTTCAGCACCGGCCCGTCGGGCTCCTCCTTTATGTGCAGGTCGGGCTTGACGGGCACCGGCCTCCAGCCGCACACCGGGTCGATGGTGATCTCCTCGTAGTCGGAGCTGGGGGGGAGGGGAGGGGTGGGGTCAGGGGTCACTTAGCAACCAGACAAACACCCGGACGATTCGTTAAAAAGTCCGTAATACTCATCACTCACTTCTGGATGTAGACGAGGATCCCGAGCATGTACTGGTCCACCTCCAGCCCCTCCAGCAGCGCCGTCTTACTGGGGAGGGAAGCAGAGGGTTCTGGTTCTGTAAGGGGTTCTGGTTCTAAAAGGGGGGTTCGTGGTTCTGGAAGAGGACCTACTTGCACACGGGACACCTCCAGGTTCCCCTTTCACAGTTCAGCTGCAGGTAGGACTCCAGGTCGAAGCACTGCGGAGCCAAAAGACACCAGTGTGAGACGGGGGGGGGGGGGGGGGGGGGGGGGGGGGGGGGGGCGTGAGGAGAGCGGATGCGGCTCGGCCCACCTGTATGTGTCTGCAGTCGTGGCCTCTGGCCGGCAGCTGGATGCGCCTGAAGGTGATGGGACATTTGAGGGACACCTTGATGGCCGTCTGCTCCACGCCGTCCTCTCCGTTCAGCCCGGTGGAGCCCGGGATGGTGCCGCTGCTGAAGTTCCTCTTTACTAAGAGTGCAAAAACAGATCAAGGGAATAAAAACAACACGTGTGATTTATAAAATCATTACATTGTAAATCACCTGAAAAGTCGCTGGTCTGAACTTTCTAGTCTTCGACCACTCAAAGCTCTTCAACAGTTCAACACCACGTGACATCATTCACACACGGAGACACCGGCCATCAGTCACTGACATTCACGCGCTGTAGTCGCAGCTGCAGGTCCATTGATCCAGAACCTCGGAATGAAAAACCTACAGAAACTACGTATAGTACTTTATCCAGAGATGCTGAATTATAAAGTTACACAGAACTTAAACCCTCAAGTACCTCCGAGTTGTACTGAGTACAGTGCGAGTATTTAATGAATGGACTTAACAAGTTTAGGTAATAAAAACTGCTACTGTGTAACAAAAGGAGATACATTAATCAATTGATGTTCCTTAACTCCCTTATCAGAGTTATGTTTCTTTTCTTGGATTGATTTATTTAACGTCTTTTATTTCGCTCATGTTCAGTTTAAACATATATTCCGTATAGTTTTGGTTTATAACCCGGACGGCGTGCTGGAGCTCACTCTTGGTGATGCAGTGCTCGGCCGGCAGCAGCCTCTTCTTCATCAGACCCTGCAGGACGGAGCGGACGGAGGGCCGGTGCACCAGCTGCAGGACGAACAGGTGGGACTGCAGGGAGACGAGGACAAGGGTTCAACACTGTCTGTCTGTCTGTTGGTGCGCAGAAAGCTGTTGCATTGTGGGAGCTTCCACTCACGCAGCAGCAGGCGGTCACCGTGATCTGAACCGTGTTGCGTCCCGGCTGACACACCGGCTTCAGGTACAAAGGCTTGTGGGAGGTTTTGTTGTCGCCCCGTTCGATGCACAAAGGAGTCGCGTTGACGCTCACCTGAGACGGGAAGAAAGTAACGTCAATTAACTCCCAAGTAGGTATATTTATTATTATATATATATACACGATGCATATATATATATATATACACATACGATGCCCATAATAAAAAGAGCGCCATCTCAGAGACTCAGACTATTGAACGAGGAGACTCGACCTGCACAGACGCCGGCCAGTTGGTGTTCATCTGCCGGTCCTCGTGGTGGTAACACTTGAACTGCAGCTCCAGGTCCGGCCTGCAGGGGGCGGCACAGCACAGCCGCACATATAAATAAATACAAATACACATTAGGAGGGAGAGCAGCTATCACATCCCTCATTTTGTTTTCCTTCTTCAGGAACTCAGCTCTGATTTCTCTCTGAAGCCACATTCGTTCCCACGAGAGAAACATGAAACGTTTATCGCTGTTTTTAAAATATTTTTTTAACAATATTAGCACGTAAACATAGATGTACACATAATAAATAAATAATTCTTTCGTATGGACGTCAGTCATTCAGCCACGACAAACCGTCAAACACAAACAGTAAATAAATAGGAATAATCTCATTATCTTGTGTTTATTTAACATCAGGATGCAAAGAGAAGCGCTGGCACCTCAACATGAGCGTCTTGTAGACGGAGTCTCTCAGCTGGAAGGCGTGGTTACTGACGGCGAGGTTGTGCTCCAGCCTGAACGGCTCCAGCACCACGCCGTCGCGCACCGGGAACGTCAGCCGCAGGTCGTCGCTCGGGTTTCCTGCCGAACAAGTCGAGGGTTCAATGTTGGGGAGCAGCAACACGGCAGTTTGTAGAAGAAGAAGAAAAAGAAAGGGGGGGGGGGGGCGCTCCGGCTCACCTGTGGACACCTGCTGGGCGTTGATGTTGGGCTTGGTGTCCTGCGGCAGGTAGGGGGGCTTGGTGTCCTGGCCCGGGGACAGGTAGGGGGGTATGGAGGTCCCCGGCGTCATTGGCGGCGTGGGGTTCCCCCCCATCGGTGAACTGGGGTATCCGGGCATCACGCCCCCCCGGCCTGGCTGGGAGGCGAGGACGGAACGTTTAGAACCTGGAAGCTTCGGACTACGAGTCTCCAGCACGCGGGTTAAAGGCAGGTTTACTTCAATCTGCTATGACGTCATCGACCCGCTGAGAGCAGCATCATGTGACCACGAATCACAGAAACCGACCGAACTGCAGAGGACGTCTCAATAGTTTAATATTCATAGAACCAAACGCAGCTTTTTCCATTTACAAATTAAACGAGCAAAGAAATTCAACTTATGCTTCTTCTTTCTTTCTTTACACGATTAATGTCACTCTGACTTTTAGTACACGATCTAGTCCTTCTCTCCGAGCCGTGTTGGTCCCGCTCACACAAAGGAGCAGGGCTTTTATTCTGAAGGGGCAAACAAGTGGAGGACTTACCCCGCTGACGGCAGCCTGGGTGAAGGCGTTGTAGCCCCCGCCCCCTCCGGACGGAAGGCTGCCCTGACCGTTGAACGGCTCCGGCTGGAGAACACGGGACAGGAAGCGTGAGACGCCCTCATGCTTTAGTTATTGATCAGTTCACAACCCAAAGTCACTAACAGAACGTGTGCGAGGGGATCACCTTATAGTACTGGGGGGGGGTGGGCTGGCCGGCTCCGGGGGGGAACTGCCCCGGGTTGTGTGATCCGGGGGGGTACTGCCCCATCAGGGGCATCCGGCCGGGGGGGTAGGAGGGCGAGGGGCCGCATCGCTGCTGCGGACCCGAGGGGTACTGCAGGGGCTGGGTGGGGTACCCCGACATGCCCCCCGAGCCGTACTGCTGCCCCGGGAAACCCTGGAGGCAGAGATCTGTGATTAGAGAAGCTTAAACAAGCTCACGAGGACGGGACACAAAGTGTTAAGAGGTTGGTAAAGTGCCCCCCCCCCCCCTACCCCCCCTCACTGACCTCTGGGTGGAAGGGCCGCTTGAGCCCCTGCTGAGGACCAGGGTATCCTCCGTGCTGGGGCATCTTCTGAGCCTGTGCCGGGTGACTCGGGTACAGGCCTCCGCTGGAGGGGGGGGGTCCCGGCCTGGAGGAGACCATCCCCGGGGGGCCGCGGGGGCCCGCGTGAGACATGAACTGGGTGCTGTAAGAAGACGCGCCCCCCATCTGAGGGGTGAAAGGAAGAGCAGGGGTTAAAATACAAAGCTCAAAATATATATTTTATTATTATTAATTAAATATGTCCTAATAAGCCTACATTTATGTGTATACACACACACACACACACACACTACTACATATAACGCTTCCCCACAAGACGATACATTAAGGGAACTTTGCGCACATGAATAAGTATGAACATGAAAGAGTACCTGGCCATAGTTCAGCTCCTGGTTCTGTTTCTCTTGTATCGCAGCGACTGTTGCCGTGGCGGTGGCCGTTGCCGTGGCGGCGGCGGCAGCGACGGCGGCGGCGGCAGCCTGAGTGAAGTCCGAGGGAGGGCGCACACCCATACCGCCACCTCCACTGTTACCGGGGTAACTGCAGGGAGGGGGGGGGGGGGGGGGGCAGTGTGTGGTTTCATCACCAGCATGAGTCACAGCTGAGGGAGACGTTTGTTGATGTAATATCCCCCCCCCCCCAAAAAACAACAACAACACAAAGCCTAGCGCTGCATTTAAACAAACAAACTGGTCAATCATCAAACTACCTTCGGTTTCATTTGCATGTTTTGTTGCCTCCTCCTGTGTTTCTTTCTCTGAATTATCTTTATTTCCGTTTTAAGAGGAAAAATGAGATTACACACACCATTAACTCATTAATCTATGCGATTAATGTGGCCTAGATTAATGCAACTAAATATTTTAACGTAGTTAACGTTCGTTTGTTTACTTCCGGTCTGGAAGCTGCAGTCCGTTACATCAAGAAGAACAACCAGAGGTGTGAAATACAGCAGAGAGAGAACCGTGCAGAGGAATTACTCCACGTGCCAAACGGACCGCTTAAAGCCCTGCTAGGCTAAGCTAGCAGCTAGGCTAAGCTAGCTGCTGAGATACATCCATCTCAACATCCAAGCTGTCTCGGTTTAGCTGCCTGTTAGCGGGCTGAAGCCGCGCTGCTTCACAGAAACATGAAGACACGTTTAAAGACTGTGGGACCTTTCTGCTCTGTTCTCTGGCGACGGCAGGCAGCGTTTCCTCGCTGGATGAGACGCTCCGTCACAAACGCCTCTAACGTAATAAAGTCATTGCAGGTTCTGAAGCCTCACGCATTTCAACTATAGTTCACGCGCCACATCGTGAGAAGACGTTAAACCGCCTCGGCCACCGTACGCTCGTTACTAAGCAACGTAGAGGCGCCACACGCGTGACAGGTGGGTCCTTTTGATAGAACTGCTACAACATGGCTATTAAATGTGACAAAAACTACTAAAATGTAATTAGTTTTTGTCGACAAAAACTAGACTAAAACTAAGAAGCATTAAACTGACTAAATGTGACAAACTAATATGCATTTTCGTTGTGAGACTAAATCAAAAATAGCTGCCCAAATTAACACTGGTGTGAGGCCTCTGTGCACAACGCAGCAGGAAGACGAGTTTACTCGAGTCCCTCGTCGGGGAAATAGAACCTCACAGGTCCTCAACTAGCAGCTTCTTTAAACGGTTCCTGCACAAGGGCAGAACGTGTAGAGTGAAGGACAACAAGCTAAAGGGGCTTTAGCAGCACCGACGAGGCCCCAGACCATCACAATGACCATCACTCATTTAGCGACGCCATGCTGCACCTCGTGGACGGCGCTGGATTGGATAGGATTATTTCTAACCGTGGCAATGTCTTGACTATATTTTCTATTCATTTTGCAAATCATTTGGTCAATAAAAGTGTGCGCTTGTCTGGGTGACCTCATACTTTTGAACGGCAGTGTACACACACAGATTTCGTGTGAATGTGTGAGAAGGGGCGGCGCCCGCCTCTATGACATCATATTCCAGTTACCTGCCCCCGTAGGCCGATGCCGGGTTGTAGCCCCCGCTGGGTCGCCCGTACATGACCGGCTGGCCGTAGCCTTTGGACACGTCTCCGTACGACTGCTGGCCCATGAACTGGGGCCCCATGCCGGGGCCGCCGCCGCCGCCGGGCATCATGTGACCGCCAGAGCTCTCACCCGGACCCATGGGCGCACAGAAGACCTGCGTGGGACACACAGCAGGGAGCGAGGTGTTAGCAACAATGCTAACGGCTAACAGCTAACCAACAGGTCCACTTCAGTCACATTGTGATGCGTTCAGGCTCTGCCCGGTGAAAATGAGAACATTATAGTGACTCGTCTGTAAAATGCAGTAATGGTGATGAACTTCAATAAATCCAGATTTTACAATGAATTACTTTCAAAGTAAAAGAACCAGGCTGCTCACTGTGTGGAGCCAGAAGATATATGTTAGATTTCACATCCTTAATTTACAGACAAAGAAGAAGAAACTAGTATTATCAAGCAGTGACCTTTGACACCTTCACGTCGGCTCCCCTCACTACTTTATCTTTATATAACTTCGTTATTTAAGTTGTGAGGGGAGTTTTGACAAGTAGCTTTTAAATACAACATCTGGGCAAAAGGGCGTCCAAAATAAAAATGTAACTTTAAATAACATGAAGCTTGTAAAGTTAAAGTTATGTATTAATTAGGCCAAGATTTGGTTATTATTATTTGACTGTAGCAGTAGGTCTGGTTGTTGTACCGATGGCTCCATCTGCCACCCTTTCTCTTCCTTGGTGCTGATAATGTATTATTTTAGTTATTATTTATCCTGTGGCTTGTTGAAACGCTCCCATCATGTGTGTGTATTAACATAATATTGTGATATTATACCATTGTCTAGGTGGAAGCTTCCAAAGGACTTTCTGCCTCTCTCTCTTCCGTTTGTGTATTATCTGTTACTTACTAAATAAACACCGTATGGCTGGTTTGAGCTGAGGAGGAGAAAGGAGGCGTGTGTTACCTGGCTGTGTGTGGGATTGGTCACGCCCCACACTGTGGTTACTACCGAGAGAGATCCTGGGTGCTGATTGGTTCCTGGTTGCCAGGAGACTGGGTCATTCAGGAAGGGCCCGTCGCTGCTGCAGAGGGACACCAAGCAGAGACACTGCGACAGTGAAGGCGGGTTCAGGGGGAGCGCACGCGTCCAGAGGTTGATAAGGGGGGGGCTAATGTTTATTTGTATAATATGTTTTGTCTTGTTGTCTTACTGTCTGATGTTATGCACAAACGCCATGTCAAATTCCTTGTATGTTTAACATATTTTGGCAGAAACGTGTTGGCGATTCCTGATTCTTTATTTGCGCGCAGCGGCGTAAAAAGCCCCCGACCTCCTGGCGGCGAGCCGGAGCGTGGTTCCATTGATCCTCAGCAGGAAAAACGCCACGACGGCAAAGCTGCCACAACCTGAGGGGGGGGGGGGGACTGCATGACCTACAGACGTGCTCCTCAAAGGAAGCAGAGCGCTGGACCAGCTGATTGTGGGCCGAGCGACGATCAATGAAGAGGTCTCTCTTCCTCCAGCAGAGTCCACCGGGGACGGAGGAGGGGAGGGGGGGGCTCAGCTCCCTGAACCCTGACTGGTCGTTTACGATGTCACATGATCAGAGACTAAAAAGACATCAATGACTCTGATGGTTAACCCCCCCCTCAGGGGATCCCCCAACAAACCATTACAGGGTGTCACATGATTCACCTGAGGACAGCGGCCTGTGTGTGTGTGTGTGTGTGTGTGTGTACCTTTGCGGATTGGGAGGCAGGGAAGGTTTCATGGAGTTAAAGGGGGGGTTCATCGGATGAACGGGGGGATCATTCGAGAGCCCCCGCTGTCCTCAAGAAGCCGCCCTGAGAGGGGGGACGACACATGGAGAGAGACGGTTACTCGTCTGCCGCACAGCAACTACTCATCATCAGCGACCCACAGCGTGCGCACAAAGGACACCCACCCACTCCGCCACTTTAATCTGTGTGTGTGTGCATCGCTGCTGCTGTAGTTGTGATACCCCTCACCGGGGGGGGGGGGGGGTTGGCTGATTTCAAAAGGAATTTAAGAGGACAGAGATGTGAAGAGACAGATCAGTGGCGGAGGACTCTTCTTCTTCTGCCATTTCATTTGTGCTTATCTGCCGCTCTTCTTCTCCTCTTCTTCCTCCGCTTCCCTCCAACTCGCCTCCATCGCTGATCATTTGCTTCATCCGACAGTTAAAATGCTAATTTTTCTCCACGGCGCGCACACACATTCCTCCTCCTCCTCTCGTTTCTTCCTCTCTGCTTTTGCAGATTTGGGTCACATCTTGTGGAGGAGGAGGCTGCAGTCACATGACGGCTTCTACCTGAATTCCCTCCTATCAAAAGGCATCTTCAGCCTCCAGACCTCCATCACACAAAAGAGGTCCGTTAAGACGTCTGCACCTTCTCGCTCACTCGTCTTCCTCCCTTCGGGGCGACCGACACCCCCACGGCAATAGAACAAGAAGAGACTGTTTGTTCAGGTTGATGTTGTTTCTTTTTAAAATAACACAAAAGGCGCCACTAACTATTTCTATTAATAGTTGACCTCTGAACCCCGAGGCGGTTTTGGTGAGGTTTGTTCTCTCCAGTGAAATTTGTCTCTCTGGTTTTGACTTTTGAAGTCCTGCTACTATGAAAAGAAGCGTGACGACAACTTAAACACGTCTGAAGTTCAGAATAACACAAGTCATACAAACAGAAATGTTGTGTTCCTGTATTTTAGGAAAACATTGTGTCACGTCTCCACGTGTGAGTAGAATAAATGGAGCCTCCACGTGCTGGACGGTGACTTTTATCAGATTCACTGCCATGATGTCATAGTTCCACTGAGGAGCTCAGAACACAAGCTGGTTGAAGGAAACGGTTCATTTGTGAATTGGGGTGGACAAAATAACAGGAACACCTGTCCCAGTACAATTCAGCACAAACTTCATGCTCCGAAATCAACACTAAAAACAAAATGTAAAACATTAGAAACCGTCATGAAATGAATTATTAACAGAATGTTGTGTAACACTGCATCAGTTATAGCAAACTGCTGTGCGTAATACATCAAATAAACAACCAACGAATCAAGCAGCTGACCATCCAACATCCTGCACAACAACCCAGAACCCAAATGTGTTCACGTCATCCAACAGACAAAGCACAACTTCTCTATTTTACAAACCACCAAAACGATTGAAACAAAAGCCGACACGTTTTCTGCCACTAACCAACTAATGATGTAATCGTTTCAGCTCTTATTCCATATTCAGCATCGCACAGAGGATTATGAGATAAGACCTTCACACAATAACGTCTGCAGAAGGAAAGTGTTTCTCCCCCCGGACAGAACCTGTTTGTGCCCCTTCCATCTGGCAGGAGGTCCATCAGGACTAAGACCTCCCGCTCATCAACAGAGCCGGTCCCCCACTGACGGACTCCGACATCCCACCGTCACTTTCTTTCACTCTGCACACGTCACTTTTGTCACTTCCTGTTTGCCAGTGTACTTTATTTTTTTATTATTTTAATATTTTTAATTTTTAACTTTAATCTCTTATTTTAAACTAACCCATAGCATTAGCGTTTTACTTTATTTTATTCCTCGTGCACTGTTGTCTTGTTGTCTACTGTCACGCACCAAACGCCAAGTCACATTCCTTGTATGTCTGACATATTTTGTCAATAAATGTTTCCCGATTCCTGAAACCTCGACCAGCTGTAGCGGTTGATCTCGTGTCAACCTGCTTCCAATAAAGCGCTAATTAGGATCTGAGAGATTAGCCAATAATAGCCTGTTAAATACAGCGGAGTCAACGAGGGGTCTTATCACCCCCTGGGAGAGAAGCAGAGACTCACACCAACAAGACGACGACTCAAAGGAGAGCTGGAAGTACTCAAACAGTGTACTCAAGTACAAGTACGAGTGTTGCAATTTTCAGCTACTAGATACAAGTACTACACCTCAGCGGTGGATACTGGAGCTGTACATCACTGATTGAATACCCCTCAGTATATTAAGTGGATACTTCTATGTGCTGGCGTTATGTGTAACGTGCAGCATGATTTGTGCCGCAGGCCCCAGATTTGAATTACCGGTAAATCAAAATGAAATCCAGTGTACAAGAAAATCAGGACAACAGCTTTATTGCAATAAGTCTTGATTTACATATTGCTACTGATTATATAGATATAATCTCTCAGTCCACAGCGTTTAGTCTTCATAGCCTCCTTCTCAAACTAAGACCTTTCACACAAACACTGAGCCAATCTTCCAGCCATAACAACGTGTTATTGAGCCCATCATACATCCAGGAAGTCATGTCAGCGGTGTGTGTCGACTACCACATGAACACACGTTGCAATGCAACCAAAAGCATGCATATTAGACCCCACTGGAACGCCTCTGGTCGGCCGTAGCAGCCCGGTGAGAAACACAAGCAGAATTCCCTTCAGGATAAAACAAACATGCAAAATATGAACCTGCTGCAACAATAAAATACATGCTGCTCAGATTGTGCAGCAGAACAAAGCGGTGTGCACGCTGAGGAGTGCAGCCTCCCTCCATCTCTCTCTATATACACACACACATAAATATATATGTACACATCTGTATGTTATCCATCCCTCCAAACAAACAGACAAAAACGAGATCAGCAGATGTTTTGTTCCACCTACCCGAGCCGAGCTGCACAATAAACGCACATATATCGAGGTTGCAGCTCGTCGCCAGTACAGTTATAGTCATAAGAGCATGAATGCGGTCCAGATGCGCTGGTGCCTTATGTTAGAATCGTCTCCCTGCTGGGGGGCAGTGGCTGGAAAGACGAGCTATGGAGGCTCCTTAACACGCTGCTGCTGGCAGCGCCGCTAGCACCGTTAGCTCCCGGAGGCTACTTAGCCCGAACGGCGAAGCTAGCTTGTTTTTACGTTACCTTGAGGTAGCTACGTTAGCTACGCGGTAGCTCACGGGGCTAACCGCCAGCTAGCTGGACGATTAAAACAGCGTAAACCGTAGCTTACCTCTCTGTGTCCGCTTCGCAGCCGAAGGAGAGCCGCCGCTCGATGGCAGAGCAGTTAGCTTAGCCGTGTGGGCTAAGTGTCGCAGTCCCGGCTAGCAAGACACGGCTGCTTGATTACCGCGATGTCGAGCGTATTAATTCTATATATGTATGTATTTATGTCTTCACACCCCCGCAATGTTGCGTATTGAGTCGACTATAAATAATAAATACCATTCCGCTTTTACAAAAAATGTCACCTGTACACAATAGCTAACAAACTAAGCTAGCTTGTATTCAAGCTTGTTGTTATATGTGGGGGGCAGGCTATAACCTGGCAGCTCAGCGATACCTTCCTCATTGCACAATGACACCCCCCCCCCCCCTAATATATTCATGAGATCACAGGACTGATGTCTCCCTCCTCCTCCTCCTCTTCCTCCTCCTACGAGTCAAGCGGCTGAGTGACTGCAGACCAGAGCAGCAGATCCCTTTGGGGGGGGGGGGGGGGTGACGTCACCGTGCCTGAGTGGTGTGCACGGTGTGTTATGATCCGTGCATGTGCAACATGGTTTTAATGATTTCTCCTCTTTCTTAGTGCCCCGTATGAGGTAGGTAGGTGGGTGGGTGGTGTTCTTTGGGTGGTGTCTGCAGTGTGTTGCCTGAGGGCGGTGCAGCGTGGAGGATGTGTAAAAAAAATAAAACAATGAAATAAAAAAAGAAGTCCAATCTGCACGTGTTTTTTCAGACCTCTGTTGCCCTGGAAACAGGTGCTGAGATTTTCCCATTTCTTCATTTTTTCCCTTCTTCTCCACACCATCCATATTACTCCACACCACCACCTCTACACTCCACACTGCTGCGCCCCCCCACGACCTGCCGCATAGTACAATCACACACACACACACACTTTCCAATGTACCACTGCAGTGGCTTCACAATGTCACAGGACAGAGTGACTCCTCCAGGAACTGGCATGAAGAAGGTTGACCCTCCTCTGACTCGGGGGGACGGTGCTGCAGCTAGCTGACCCCTGGGAGGAAATAAAGAGGTGGGGGGGGGTCAAGGAAGGTCAGTGGAGAATGTGGTTCATCTTGCTCTTGTGCTCTTTTCCTTTTTTGATGCAGGAAGAGAAAGAGACAAGAAAAGCTTTCTCAAAAAGAAGACAAAGCTCATGTGTAGAGATATGTCTTTCTCGTGTTGTTATTATGTTTTAATCTTCATGCAACAAAGTGCCACATGTGCCGCCTCATTTTTCGGGCCTTTTTAAGTCATGCCTGCCTGTGTGTTGTGTGTGCACATACCATTGTAGTGACTTCTCTTTGGCAGGAGGAGGAACATTCCGGGGAAATGGCTGACCCACACACACACGCACGCACGCACACGCACACAGACACACACACACACACACACACACACACACACAGGATGAGGGAGGTCCTCTGCCGTTCTTTTCTTGCCCAAGCTGCTGTTTCCAAACAGACGCTCAACGTTTCATGTTGAGTTAAAACGAAGCCACATGTTACTGCGCAGCATATCATGTGAACACATGGACACGTGACTGCTCATATGAACATGTGTCTCTGCTCATATGAACACATGAGTATTGTCATATGAACACGTGACTATGCTCATATAAATCATTTTCTTTTATATGAATATGCAGAAATAACTCCCCACACGCAAGGTGTTGTAATGTTTTAGAGTCGATTCCGCATTAAACATCTGCTGAACATCTGTTGCTTCGTTTTTGGGGACTTTCTTCTTCTGTGGTGTGTGAGGAAGGTTTGTAATATTATATCTATACACTCCTCAAACACTTGCATTTTCACTCTTGTATTTGACCTTGTGGTTTTGTATTTTATTTTTTATAAATAAAATACAAAACCAATTCTTTAGTTTGGAATTAACTTTGGAATTATTGTTATTATTATGAGTAATTATTTAATTATATTGTTGATGATAAAATGGCATTAATAATACAATTGTATTATAATCACAATTATGATTATTAATATTTGTTTTGTCATATTATTATTACTAATAAATGAAGATGAATAAGCTTATTATGTTGCTGCTGCCACCTGGTGTTCACTAATCAAAGTCCACCTGACGCGTGTTGTTCGTCACCGTGTGCAAACAGTATCAACGTGTACTTCCTGTATTATCCTGGGATCAAAACCTTTTAAATATTGCTTCAATTAAAAATACTTGTCTGTTATAATTATTCACTCAAGTACTCCATATTCAAATACTTTATACTTTGCAAGAAAATTGTTGTATTTCTTTACAGCACCACATTCATTTGAAAGATATAGTCACCCTACGGTGAATACAGTACAATTGTAGTACTTTCAGACACAGACAGTGCCATGAACTAATTAATATATTTATTTTTCTTAAATTCTTTTCAATGAAATACTGTGACTATGCACCTTCTGAAATGAGTTCATGCTCATTATATTCATATAGAATTACTTCATGCGCCTCCACAGCAGGATTTCGTGTATAATAGAAGTATAAAACGCAGTACTTCGGTGTACTTTCGTTTTCGCCTCAAAGTGAAAGTAACCCGTCGGCTCGTGGGCTCGAGACGTGTTCGCTTCATCGATGAGCGGCGACATTTAGGACAGTCACGTGACATCTGAGCGCACCTGCTGCTGAGCCGTGAGTCACTTTAATGTTCTTTTAATTGTGGTACTTTTGTGATGGGTAATATCAGATATTATACGTCATACACAGATCCTCATACACAGAGGAGGAGGAGAGGGGGGGGGGGGGGGGGGCGGTGACAACACAACACAGAATCTCCCGTCTTTATGTATTTAAATAGTGATAGTTGCCTCTGGGCTTTCACATGCTTTTGAAGAATTTGCAGGATAAACGTACTTGCTGATCCTCTATTTATTTTAAGTTACTAGAACTGAACAGAACTTTGGTTCTGGCGCCCCCTGTGGACTGCAGCAAAAATGTAGCAAATATATACTGTATTACCTACTATGTATATATATATATATATATATATATTACAAAATGCATTTATATGTATGTATGTATACATTATATGTATGTATACATTCTATATATGCATTTAAATGTATAAATATAACGCCAACATTTAGTCACCTTGTTTAGTTTGAATTCTATCCTTTTTACCGGTGGTCCTACCCCCCCCCCCCCTCCCACCCCCTTACTTTCTACTCACATTGACTTCCTCCCCCTTTTTTCCCCTCCAGTGACCCTCCAGAGATGGCGCGACGCGACCACCGCAACGACAGCTCCCAGATCAGAGGGGTGCTGCAGGGTGAAGGCCGGCCCCTCCCCTCCCCCTCCCCCTCCCCACGCTCCAGCCCAGCGGCCGTGAGGAGGAGGACTGGCGAGGAGCTGAGGGGGGACGTCCCTCCGTCGGGCCGTACTGTACTGGCCGATCTGAAGCACCTCCCCCGTAGCGAGAAGAGGCGGGGCCGCCTGACCTTCAGCAAGACAGACGCCGTCCTCGTAAATGTGAGACTCGTCGACTTGACCTTTTGGTCAGGAGCCAGAAGGTCACCTGATCAATGGGAGGGTCAGAGAGTGGAGCAAGCAGAGGCTGTTATGATCATCTTTGATCCCCGATGAGTAAAACGCTTTGTTCTCAGGTGGATGTTTTCAACCGCGAAGGACGACTTGTGGCTCAGCAGGGGGCCGACATGTGGAACAGCAGCGTTGTGAAGATGCCGTGTTCCCCGTGGAGCTCCATGGTGAAGCCTGGAGGTGCATTCAAGGTGCGCCTGACGCCGTGCACGTGGCAGCGATGGGCGGAGCCTGTGAGTCACACCTCCTCTGTTTCCTGTCTGCAGGCCGCGGCCCCGGCGAGGAGGTGGGAGGTGATCTCCAAGCAGCTCGGCGCTCTGGCCAGGAAGACGGCGGCGAGCGCCGAGGACGTCGAGGTGAAGAAGCTTGCCACCATCACCTAGATGTCTAATGCTCTTCTATTAAAGCAAACAGACGAGAAGCTTCTTGAGGATAAACCTGATTCTCTGGATGTCTCGTTAGGGCGCCGTCATGAAATACAACCCCAAATATAAAGACCAGTGGTCCTTTGATGCCCTCTGCAGATTTGTGAAGGTCAGAGGTCATCTCCTTCAATCGCCAGTTGAATCCTTTCTGGTTTTAGTTTTTAGGATCTAATATCTATCTATCGATAACAAACCGGAGTGTTTTTTCCCCAGATCGTCCCGGAGACGGAAAATTATTTCCCCAAATTGTTTCCAAAGATGGCGGCGTTGGCTTTGCGTCTTCCCGACTACGTGAAGAAGGTTTGAAGATGATGATGATGACCTTAATCGTTCATATGAACATAGAGAGTTGTAGTAATAATAAGCCCTATTTATGGATATATGAATATGACACCTGGTGATTCTTTCAGAGCGTCCCGCTGCTCCGGAGGGGCGAAGCTGCCTCCGTCACCCTGTCCCAAGTGCAGATATCCTGCCTCCTCGCCAACGCCTTCTTCTGCACCTTCCCCCACCGCAACACCACCAGCTCCACCGCCGAGTACCACCGCTACCCCTCCATCAACTTCACTAGGTAAGAGCACCCTCAGGGCACCGTCAGAGCAGTCAGGGCACTGTCAGGTGACCTCTTCCTGGTCCTTCTGCCTGCAGCCTGCTGGGTCAGTGGTCCGAGCGGAAGAAGGAGAAGCTGAGGGCCGTCCTGCATTACTTCCACGTGATGACGGAGGAGAGTGAGTACAGAGATTAAAACGTCCTCCTCCTCCTCATCCTGTTTTAACATCTGTAAACATCTGTGAACATCTGTAATGTCTGTTTGCAGAAACTAAATCTGAAGGACTGGTGACGTTTGAAAGGCGCTGTGTCAGAGACTCCGATTTGGTCAACTGGGGGAGGTAATAACACTAATACCACTACGATTAACACTAACTACTAAAAAACAAAATATGTAGGGTCCAAAATATTATGAAAAATATATTTATTAGGTCAAAAGATATTTTGAAAAAAAGTCAAAATATGTAAGGTGAAAAAATATTATGGGAACAAAAGTCAAAATATGTAAGGTGAAAAAATATTATGGGAAAAAAAGTCAAAATATGTAAGGTGAAAAAATATTATGGGAAAAAAAGTCAAGAATTATTAGGTCAAAACATATTTTGAAAAGAAATGTGGAATCTGAAAAATATGGGGGAAAAAAATAAAACATAATAGGTTGAAAAATATTTTGGGGAAAAAAATATGATGGGAAAAAAGTCACAATACGTTATGTCGAAAGATATTTTGTAAAAAAGTAAAATATGTAACCGTGAAAAAATATTATGAGAGAAAAAGTTTTTAAATATTAAAAAAAGTTTTTAAATATTAGGTTGAAAAGTATTTTGAAAATAATTAAAATATGTAAGGTGAAAAAATATTATGAGAGAAAAAGTTTTTAAATATTAAAAAAAAAGTTTTTAAATATTAGGTTGAAAAGTATTTTGAAAAAAAGTTAAAATATGCAAGGTGAAAAAATATTATGAGAGAAAAATACAAATAATATTACTGAACACGGAGGGGGGCGGGGCATCCATATCTATTGGCTAGCAAAAGTCAGCATTTCTGACTTTTTTGTTTTTGTTGCAGCTGTAAAGAGAAGATGAATAAACTTTACGTCTCGTCACACGGAACCATTGAGACCGAAGGCACTGGTTTGCTCCAGGTGAGAACCGACAGCAAGCCAGCCGCTTGAGTCCGGAGCGAGTTCTCACACTGCGTGTGTGCGTGTGTGCGTGTGTGTGTAGGTGGACTTTGCCTCCAGCTGGATCGGTGGAGGTGTTCTGGGTTCTGGTCTGGTGCAGGAGGAGATCCTGTTCCTCATGAACCCGGAGCTGATCGTGTCTCGCCTCTTCACTGAGAAGCTGGCGGACAACGAGTGTCTGATCGTCACAGGTAGACCTATCGGCACATTGATCGGCAGGAATAAGATCAATAACCACACAAGGAATTACTCAGTGTTTGTGTGAGCTGAACTTGGTGGGTTCGGGTTGTTTGTCAAACATTTCGACCTTGATCGAAAGAATTGCTCATTTTAAGTCCAAGTGTGGATCAATCTGCTGATAAAAATAGTCCCAAACAAATGTTCAAGTTAGATGTTTTCTTTATTTCTGTAAAATGTCAGTTAGAAGTTAAATTGTTTTGGATTCAATGATTCAATTTTGTTTTTGTAATTATACACTTTCTCTATATTTTAGACTGTTGGAGAATATATTTCTATATATATATTGTATTTACACACACTGAAGTGAAAATAAAATCCAGGGAATTAAAGAAAATTTGTGATGTAAGGAGCTTAAAAAACAAAAACATTTAAAAAAACAACCCCCCCAATAAATGTAATTAAGCTCAAATAATTTTGAAAAAAAAAAAAAAAAAAAAAATTTCTATACAAATATATAGATGATCAAACTTTTTAGTTTGATATTAATTAGTTTTGGAAATTGACCATTTCCTTTTCACAGACGATGAAGAATTGTCTACTCATCTCAATCTCAAATCTCATTATAGGTTTTAAAAAAAAGAAGCAACGTGTTATTAAAAGAACCAATGGCAGCAGAAAGTCTCAAACAGGAAGTGTTTTTCAGGCTCTCAGCAGTTCAGCTCCTACTCGGGTTTCGGGGACAGCTTCGAGTGGGCCGGCCCTCACGAAGACGTCCTGCGCAGGTACGCCCGGCCCTCCCGCGTGCCCCGACGCGTCTGCCTGTTCCTTTCTCATTGTCCTGGTTCTCCGTTGCCATAGAGACAAGTGGGCTCGGCTGCAGAGGCAGATCGTAGCCATCGACGCGGTGCACTTTAAACAGAGGAGGGATCAATACAACATGATCAGCGTGAGGCGGGAACTCAACAAGGTGATTTACCCTGTACACTTTAAAGAAGCCTCATTTATTGTATTTTGATTATGACTCTTTTCTAATATATAAATATCCTTAATATCAATTTCAGCTTTTTTTCAAGGATTGTCCTACAGTCTGATTTTTTTATGTGCAATAAATAAGAAACATAATAAATATCTATTGTTTATCAATACAAAAGACTCACTCTCAAATCTTCTTATGGATTTGATTATTATCCTTATTGGCCATTTCGTCCCTGAAGGCGTTCTGCGGATTCAAGCGTCGCGACCACGACGAGCCGGACATCGCCACGGGCAAGTGGGGCTGCGGCGCCTTCAACGGAGACCCTCAGCTCAAAGGTACGTAGGCAATGACCCCCGTCGATTCATGGCCACCCGAGGAGACGCACACGCCCTGAGCTCTGCCTCCTCCCGTAGCCACGATCCAGCTGATGGCGGCGGCGGCGGCCGGCAGGGGTTTGGCCTTCTTCACCTTCAGGGACGAGGAGCTGGAGCTGGGCCTGCGGAGGACGCACCACCTGCTGGTGGAGGAGGGGGTGACAGTCGGTGAGAAACCTGCACCAGCCTGAGACGGCTCTGATTAGTTTGTTAGTTGGGTTAGCTCAGAGGTTAGCTCGCATGTTAGCTCAGATGCTAGCTCAGAGGTCAGCTCAGAGGTCAGCTCAGAGGCCAACTCAGAGGTCAGCTCAGAGGTCAGCTCAGAGGTCAGCTCACATGTTAGCTCACATGTTAGCTCAGAGGTCAGTTCACATGTTAGCTCAGATGTTAGCTCAGAGGTCAGCTCACATGTTAGCTCAGATGTTAGCTCAGAGGTCAGCTCACATGTTAGCTCAGATGCTAGCTCAGAGGTCAGCTCACATGCTAGCTCAGATGCTAGCTCAGAGGTCAGCTCACATGTTAGCTCAGATGCTAGCTCAGAGGTCAGCTCACATGCTAGCTCAGAGGTCAGCTCACATGTTAGCTCAGAGGTCAGCTCAGAGGTCAGCTCACATGTTAGCTCAGATGTTAGCTCAGAGGTCAGCTCACATGTTAGCTCAGAGGCTAGCTCAGAGGTCAGCTCACATGCTAGCTCAGAGGTCAGCTCACATGCTAGCTCAGAGGTCAGCTCAGAGGTCAGCTCACATGTTAGCTCAGATGTTAGCTCAGAGGTCAGCTCACATGTTAGCTCAGATGCTAGCTTGTTGCTTTTTTTCTGATTTTTCTCTCCGCCTCAGAGAAGCTGTTCAGACTCCTGGAGGACTTCTGCGCCGCTCAGCAGGCGTCGGGCGGCTCCCACGTGGACCTGTTCCACTTCATCTGGACCAGCATCGGGCCCTCCAGGAGTCAGCTGTGAGGAGGGACGCAGGCGTTGCACTAAAATCCAACACGAATGTTTTTTATACAGTGATGAAGAATTGCGATTTGGTTTTTGTTGGTGGTAAAGGTATTTTTTGGCGTTTGCACATTACTTTGTTTAATAATTTTACCAGCGTTGAAAGGTTTATTTTTATAATTCTTTGTGTCTTTGTGATTTCTCCTAACTGGCCAAGTTCTCCTCTGAATAAACTCCTCAGTACTTAGAATATTCGTGCAATAAAAAGTCTGAGAGGAGTAACGAGTCAGTCAGCTGCTGCTGAAGAACATTCAAAGTTGGCTAAAGATAAAGGTTGGCTGCTACCTCTGATTCCTTAAGGTTGAAAAGCTGCATTCTGTGTAGTGACCAGCAGGGGGCGACTCCTCTGCTCCCATAGACGTCTATGAGGAAATGACTCTACTTCTCTGCAGTGACCAGCAGGGGGCGACTCCTCTGCTCCCATAGACGTCTATGAGGAAATGACTCTACTTCTCTGTAGTGACCAGCAGGGGGCGACTCCTCTGCTCCCATAGACGTCTATGAGGAAATGACTCTACTTCTCTGTAGTGACCAGCAGGGGGCGACTCCTCTGCTCCCATAGACGTCTATGAGGAAATGACTCTACTTCTCTGTAGTGACCAGCAGGGGGCGACTCCTCTGCTCCCATAGACGTCTATGAGGAAATGACTCTACTTCTCTGTAGTGACCAGCAGGGGGCGACTCCTCTGCTCCCATAGACGTCTATGAGGAAATGACTCTACTTCTCTGTAGTGACCAGCAGGGGGCGACTCCTCTGCTCCCATAGACGTCTATGAGGAAATTACTCTACTTCTCTGTAGTGACCAGCAGGGGGCGACTCCTCTGCTCCCATAGACGTCTATGAGGAAATGACTCTACTTCTCTGTAGTGACCAGCAGGGGGCGACTCCTCTGCTCCCATAGACGTCTGTGAGGAAATGACTCTACTTCTCTCTTGATTTATTCCCTCAGTAAACATTGTAAACATGAGTTTATGTCTCAGTCTCTAGTTTCAAGTCTTCTTCAAGACAACATGATGTTCATTTAGTCAAACAGACCATAGAGCAGGGGATGCTTTAGGGCGGGGCTACACAATGATTGACAGGTCGGTACCAGTGACGTATACACCGTTTCTACGTCCTCCTCTGTATATATGTATATATAGTCACTTCCTTTTCACTGGTTACAGAAAATGACTTGACAGCCAAATTGTCAAACTTGAAGCTACAAAATGTTCACAAATATTGAGTCACAACCACGTCCTCGTCTCGTAAACATCAAAAGATCCAAGCAGAGCGATTAATCCAGTTTGAGTTTTTACAAAGTCACTTATTGTGGTTTTATTATAAATCTTAGTTATAGCAACTACCCAATTGTCATACCTCTAAACGACCTTTGACCTCTCATGCTGAGGCGTGAAAATACTCTAAAGAAAAATACTCTACTTCAAATATCTCAGTCTTAAGAGTCAGAGACGTTCAATAGTTTAAACTGGACCAAGAGGAGTGAGCATAGTATGGAAGTAAATCTGTGTCATCGGATTTTGAAAGAAAAAGGTGATTGAATTTCTAGCACTGAATATTTATGCATTGAAATCATGTATCTGAATGTTTTTCAACGTTAAAATATTCAACTGCAAAAAATTCAACCGCAAATAATTCAACCGCAAAAAATTCAATGCAAAAAAATTCAAGCCGCAACATCCGGGAACCCAAGGAAGAGCAATCGATTCTAGATTCAAGATCGGGAGCGTGCGTCAAGCAAAAGGAGCGAGCGCCCCAATACAACTTCGGCTTGTCGACTATGATGACGGGATTTCAGCCATGTCCATCAATAACGGGGCTTCGTTGAGTGTTTTAACTTTAACTTCATGCCATCAGTGTGGTTTGTGTCTGTAAGATTCAGTAATCGACTGCTGATGCTGGGATGCTTCGACGAGCTATTAGGAGTGATTGGCGGAGTTTTGAAACCAGGAACGCGCTTGTAGAGCATAGGAGCCGCTGCATTTTGCATTGAATTTTTTACGCAATATTTTAACGTTGAAAAACATTCAGATACATGATTTCAATCCATAAATATTCAGTGCTAGAAATTCAATGACCTTTTTCTTTCAAAATCCGATTTACACAGATTTACTTCCATAAGTGAGTCAAGGATCATTTTTCCCCTCTGGTTGTATAAAGTAGCAGCCAATAGGAAGTAATTGTACTTGTACTTGAGAACAGTAGCACCTCAAACAGACAACACAATTCACCAGGAACTACAATCTTTATTCATCCAAAACACTTCACGAAAATAAATACAATGCAACTTTTTTGCTGAAGTTCGTTCTTCGCGTGACGTCGTCATGGAAACGAGATCAAGGAATCGAGATCAAGGAATCGGCACTTCTGATGAAGACTGGATACGATGTTGTGTGTTTTTTTTACTCTCTGAATTAAAGATTTAATTAATGTTTCAATTTGTGGAGGAATCACGCAAAAACATTCTTAAATATCCCGACAATCATCTCAAATAACCCCCGATACGGCTGTCAATCAATCCCATTTAAAGAGGAGTAGCCGCTGGTTGCCTTAGCATGCGGCTAACCTGACACAATATGACGCGTCACATTCAGAATATTGTCAAATTCTGAATACAAGTGGAATATTAGTGAGCTGGTAAATGACACATTTCTAGGAAATCAATAAATGGTTCAAACCTTTGTTCAGCAGCGGATTGATTACGGTATCTGACAGATGCACGTGCGTTATTATTATCATAAATATTACAATTCATTTCAAAATAAAAGCACTGAACTCGACAACAGAGGCCGTAGCTGCGAACACGAGGTCGTCACGGTAACGAGGTCTGATGTGTAAAAAATAGAAAGATAATAAAACCCCCACTAGACTTTCCCTGAGAACGCCGCGTCCATCAGCCGCTGCAGCTCCGCCAAGTGAGTCGCTTTGTTCCCGGTAGACGGCGCCGCCGCCGGGTCACGACCCGCGTACCTGAAACATGTACACACATAATGAAGTCCACGCATACCCATGCGCGTGGTACCAAATCGCTCCTTGGGACTCACCAGACGGGCCGCGCGTGGCCCACGGTGGTGCGGAGGCGGGGCTTGACGTAGTCATAGTAACCCTGGTTCTTGTGCTCCTCCTGGCACCAGACCAGTCGGCCGCCGCGTAGCGATCCGTCTCCGCTTTCACCAGATCGAAGGGGAAGGGGGAGAGCTGAGAGGAGAGGGGGGGGGGGGGGGTAATTAGTAGGGGTGTAACGATTTCATCAGTGAATCGATCAATCGATTTATATTCCTGCGATCCAACTGAATCGATCTGTGCTCCGCAAATCGGCATTCCAGACGACATGTATCGATTACAAATCGATTGAAATGGTACATAATCGATTGTATCGATACTTGGAAACTGCACATTGGATTTAAGTACAACAACGGCGTGGATGTGTGTGTGTTTGTTTTTAAACGTCACTGGATTCAGTCTGCCTGTCGGTGACGTCATCAGTACGCAGCGGCCGCCGCGCGAAACTCTGAACAACAACAACACACGGCGTGGAGGAGACGACTGCAAGCGAGACATTTACAAACCAACTCATCGATCCAGTGGAAACATTTGGGCTTTTGCAAACACGGAGGTGTTCTAAATAAGTCGCTCGCTGTTTGTAGAATATGTAGAAGCCAAATAAAAAACCACAGAAACACGAGGAATCTTTGCGGCCGTCTACTAAGGCGCCGTGGGATTAAACAACGCCGACAGTCAGGACCTCCAGCAGCGTCACCGCTGCAGCAGCAGCAGGTAACTCAGCTCTGCAGACGCCTCAGGCCTCCAGCACCAAACTCATCACAGGAACAAGTTTATCTGTAACGACGTGCGACCCTACGATGTGGTGTCTGTGAATTGATCCAAACATTGTGTAATTATTGTCTAATGTTTACAATGAAAATGGAACTTGATTCAAATAAAAGGTTTATACATTTGCCATTAATTGTGTTTGCTTGTTTATAATTAATTTAAACCTGATTTCCTTACAAGAAACAACAGGGATCTCAGAAACTTTGCCTGCACTGTCCAGTAAAGTCACTGAATCGATTTCAAGTCACTGAATCGAATCGTTCTAAATGAACCCAGATCGTCCATGAATCAAATCGGCGACCATGAATCGCCATTCGAATCGAATCGTTGTTAAAATGAATCGTTACACCCATCAGCCCTCCCTCCTCCCCGGGGAGCCATAGAACGTCTTATTTATCATTTTTATTTACGATGGTTTCAAACCTCCCGTACACCCCAAACATTCATCCTCCTCTACATCCTCTCCGTATCCCCCTTCTCTCCCCTCCCT